AATTTATAAATAGTCGATAAATAAATTTTCTGCCAATTTGAAATGCGTTATACATATATCTGATAGCATGGCACAATTCACATTTTTGGGCTGTTGCTGGTGGTTCTGAATAATTTATACGGATTTTAAAGGAAAACTTGAAATTCTACTTTATGGATAATTTTAATGAGGGTAATGCAAGTTGAGAACTGAATTACTAAGTTTACAAGAAACTAAATGCAGCTCACACTAAATTCATACGCAACAACCTAATGATTTTTTGTCCACTTTCATTAATGATATTCATCAGGTTTGACTTTTGACATTAAAAAGCTCATAAAAACATCAGTACAAAATGAATCAGAGAACAACTTACATGATACATGCATACATGTACTGAGACACTGAAATTCAACAAACAAAGTTCTAGGAACATGACATGCTGTATTCTTTGTTTATTGTACATGTACATGTTAGTTTGTTCTTGATTCAAATATGCTGTCCCTATGGTTTAAGATGAAATACTTATAAGTGTAATGGAGGTCTTCACAGATCACTCTCAGATCTCGGGCTGGGGGATAAATGCGTCAATCCCCAATGGCATTTAAAAAAATTATACAAAGAGTGAACCTGGACATTTTTTTTACAATGTACATGTACTTCATGTTTGAATTTTCTTTCCTCCTAAAAAGGCACAAAATGCCCCAAAATTAGCCGCAAACTCAGACAGGCCATATTAAAGATCATTCCCTGAAACCAAATCACCCCACTCTAACCATATTTACCCCCTGCCCCCCCCAAAAAAAAGAAAGAAAAAAGAAATTAATGTCCATGTAAGCTCTGGATCTGCCTTTATCCCACATCCTCTGTATACATGTACATGAAAGTTTAATTAGATTCATGCACATGTTTACAAATTAAAGTACTGTACATGTAACTATATACCCTCATAATGTTAGCCTGTAGCCAACCATTTTTGCAACTGATCTCTTCTAAGCCCATACACTTGACCTCCCACTGTAAGTAGACTCTGCGTAAACCTGACAAGAACACAAACTAGTTACAGTACATGCACCCTTTAAAAATACTGGAGCCCATCAATATTGACGGTTTTCATTGTCTAAACAGGGCTAATGTAAATTCATGTGTGCCAAAAGCATCAGTACACAATGTAGGCAACATAGTCAGTATTGGCAAGCAATGAATAAAAATTGTGACAGAAAGGCTGATAAATTCAACTTTAATATATAAGTAAATGAGGGCATCACAGTACAGGGAAAACTGTCAAGTGAACAATTCCCTGATTGATCTTTCTGTACAGCCAGAGTTTCTATTACACTTTACAGCAGATGTGCATCATTCAGTGTACACATAACTGAATGCCAGTACCACAACAAGGAGGTACACAAACACTGGGGAAAAAAATCACCCAGTTGGACAATATGTAATCAGTAAGGAAAGTAGCCTTTGTCCACTCTATCTGCCCAAATAAATGACATTGTCTAATCCAAGTTTCACATGATTTGGACATGTACATGGTGTGACAAAATCTACATGTATGACAAATAAAGTGTGCACAGGTTTCAAGAGGCACTCTCAAGGTTCTTTGAAAAGGTAGGCACAAATTGAAATGTATTATATGTTGGTACGTGTAATTTATTTGAATTAATTTGTCAATGTAAACAAAGGCCAGTTTCCGGCTGCTGATTATCTTGATGACATTTAGTGTTGGAAATGTAATTTTGTTTAAGTGGTACAATGAATGGAAAATTTTAATCTAACCCACTCACGTGGGAATAAATTTATGCCTTATTTCCTGTCCAGTTGAGCAGTAATGTAATCCCACTTTTAAAAAAATTCACTTTGGAACAGTCCCAAAACTTGCAGTTTCATTCCTTCTGACAGTACACCATCCCAAATATTGACAGTATAAACGGAAGTCAACTATCACTGGTGTTGTCAACATGGACTCTGGCTAAAAAAGCCACACACATCAAGTCATTAGCTGGCATGTACATAAGCAAAATGCTGAATGCTTTCATTTTTATGGACATTTATCCCAAGAGAATGATGTCAAAGGGGGGGACAAAAGTATCCCTGGCATATGGTTTGGGTGAAGCTCTAAACTGAAACATACCTTTGTCTTAAACTCAGGTGTAAAGTGTCTTTGCACCAAATAAATTAGCTGTGTAAGTGCAGGTGAAACAGGTGTTTTATGAGTATTGGTGTCCGTGCTAATGAAATACCACCTGTGACAGCATTGCGCCTTTTCGTCAGTCAACATATTCTTGCAAAACTAAATTACTTCCTACACTAGCAACCAAATTAAATTTTGATACCAGTTATCAGATTTTAATTTGGCTGATGTTAACTAAGTTTTTATATCCAAAATTTGAAAACATGGTCTTATGGTAAGTAATTTGAGGATGGGAAAAAACAAATTTGTACAGGCAGTTTTGATTGTTCAAAATTTACAAAAGTGTGGTGGAAAAAGTGAAGGGGGATGTCGTCTCGGGTGCGTGTCAGGACTCAAACAAAGAAAAGTGGGAGGGGAATCACTTTATTCGAGCTGACTCATTACCGACACCTCCAACCATAGCATTGCCACCAGGCAGAATATTTATAGACCCTAAACCTCCAGAGTTCTGCCTCACCAGTTTAGTATTTCAAGATCTAAGACAAAGGTTCACTGTCAAAATATATATCGGTATAAACCAAGTGAAGAGACACATGTAAGCCGAGCAAGAGTTTAAGATTTTCCTAAGGAGGACAGACAAATCCACTGAAGGAATTTACTATGCAGACAAGCTTCAGGACAAATAATACTTTAATAATAATTTAATACAACAATAATAATTTAATTCAAGTCTGGCAACATTGAGAAAACAAGGGCAAGGATGAACTGAGAGTAATTTATACAAATTAATTTGTGTACTGTGCAACCAATAAGTGTCCACGAAACCAGCTAATAGAGTAAGCTCTTATAACTACACTGCAATGGGATCTAGAAGCAAAATATACGCTACCATCTTAAGAATTATATGAATGTAGGGTCTAGGCAACAGTAGAGCAACACCCGTCCCTACCAATTTATGAGCTCCTCAGGAATAAAACTTGTGTAAATCCATAATACAGTAGCTGTAGGCACTACCTACATATGTACATCCTGTATATGTACATGTAGGCCTCTCAAACCTTAGTTAAACACCACTTGGCAACTACTATGCCTCTCATAAATTTCAGATAAATATCACAAGGCAACTCCAGTGCCTCTTACATATCTTAAATAAATATCACACTAGGCAACTCCTGTGCCTCTCTTAAACCTTAAATAAATATCTCTAGGCAACTCCTGTGCCTCTTATAACCGCCACACGACTTTATCCAAGGCCTCTGACGGGTCTGCCAGTAGTTTCTTGCATATCCTGACCACCAATTACACTGGAGATAATTCATAAGATTACGATTATTTTCATCTGGTTCCTCTCTCAGAAATTCCAAAAGAACTTTCAAGTGTGCTTGTAATAGGCCAAAATCTACGAGCTCCTCAACCTCCTCTGTTCCTCAACTGCACTGCTCTTCAATCAAATTTTCAGTTCCTAGTGTCCTAATATTTCTCAACTAATTTCTGCCCTGCAAGATCTGGGTCCTGACTCAATGATAGTTATTCCTAAATAAACAGCTCTTCTGCCTGCTCCTCAGCTCCTCCTCAGTGCCTCTGTTAATCAGTGATCAACAGTACGAGTCAACCCAACTGTAACCCAAACAACCAAACAGCCCCAACTCACAGAAAATCTGGCCCTTTTATACCCTTAAATAGTGCGCCATATGTGTAGCTGATCGTGCACACACATGTAGTAAACATACGCCCATAAGATTCCACTGAATGGAATCACTATTCACAGAAGAATTTTCATTCATTCCAAAAAACACTAAATTATCATGTATACATGTAGATGTACGTGTACTCATCAATTAAAGCATTAAATGAACTCTCAACTCTTACTCTTTCCGTCAGAACAAAGAACATACTGTAAAATCTCCTAAATTCCTCAAAAACATGGGTCAAAGAAATCGTGAATGAATGTAAGCACGCCCTATTTCCATTGTACGAAGTGCAATGACGTCGGGTCATTAATATTCATGAGCACTGTCTACAATGTGAGCAGACGGTCTGTCTCAAAACTTCAGAAAATAATGACTTACAAAAATACTTGCTCACTGAAACTCAATCTAAAGCTTTCAGTTGGGACAGATAAAATAAAGAAAAGTTTCTACTCCTAAATGTGTCAATTCTACAGTCTATATATGAAAATAATTGAATAAAAACTTTGGACCAATAATGAGTAAAGTTAGAAAAATGGAGGCAGCAATTTTTAATCTCCCTTACTCTACTTTTAGCACAGTACAAGCACATGTATGGCTGTGTACAAAACGGCTGATCATGATGGTTGAAATAAAATCCACACGTTTTAGGCATTTTACTCTCCAAAAAGTCACCAAATTCGCCAAATTGATATCCAAACAAAAGGTAAGTTTTGGTATTTGGAAGAGAAGTCTGTTAAGAAAAGAAATTGTATGCATTACAAGAAAATGACTAGGGAAATTTTTTCTATAAAAGCTTGACTTTTTACTTCACGTTAAAAAGTAATGAACAAGTCTTATATATATATACGTCAAACATATGGGGTGCGGTAGAAATACATGTATGACCTCAAATAGTACCAAGGATGCTAGGGTATCAGTTTCAAAATTGTTCCAGGGAGGAGGACAGGCAGTTTTTAACTTTGGCTGAGAAGGAACTAACAAGTATTTCAATCCTACATGTAGGTGAACGCAGTCCCGACTCCCCCCCCCCAAAAAAAAATGTTAGCAGTAGTTGGCATTTTGCATTCAAAAAATAACTGAAGCATATCCCCAAAACGAATTGGCTTCAAAACAGGGTGCAATGTAAAATCCTGTTTTGTGCTGGACAAGTAGACAATCTCTACTGCTAAATCTGATAAATCATAACACCCTACCTTGCAACCACCTCATTGTCAATCTTGATCAAGCAGTACGGGTCACTGCTTCGAGATCTGTATACGAACAAAATAGCATATGGGTCATTCTATAAATTTAGGTTCCAAAAATGTAACTTTTTTTGTCCCTGTTACATCTGACCTTTGTTTTTGACATGATTATCACTGAAATTGATTTCAAACTACTACTACTTGTTTGGCAGGTAACTTGCATTAATTCGTCACTTTTGGAAATTAGAAAATGTGTTCTGAACTTACAAAATCATACATGTATGTCGGATATGACAGGGACATGAATGAAAAAATTGAATCCCTAATTTTTTGAATGACCCACATACATGTAAGTGTGCATTAATAGTCATGAACAATCTTGAAGCCCAAACATTTCCACAAAATGGTACATTGGAACAAAGTGTGCTTTGTACAAAAGATAGTCACGACACTGTTCTGGACATCTGACCGTCCAAATGAAGCATCTTGTACTAGTTTCATCAACGTTTACTTCCTACCCACATGCCATTGGTTGGACCTCAATTCCTGGCTTGCCTTAAGCTGATAGGTGGGAATGATACACATACCTCCACAAATTTGCCAAACAATTTCACATTATTTCAACATAATGTAACTGTGCAATCACATAGCAAATCTTTAACAACCCAAAACATGAAGAAACTATTGGCTTTTATGCATAATTATAAACACTCTTCTGCAATTAAATATTTCCGAGTGCATGGAATTCCATGAAAAAAGACATTTCTTGGATGGATAATCTACATGCATGAAGAACTCAAACTCCAGCCAACTGTAGTGAACATTTCTGAAGTAAGTGCATTTGAAAATAGTGGATCTACCTCTGTTTTAAATCAATTTCCTGAAATAAGAGGACCATGTTCAACAGTGACCAGGGCCAGAGCCCCACACATGTAGTTCTGGGGGTGACGAACGGAAGGTGTAGTATAAGAGCATTGTGAAGTAAGGGAATGATGCTACATCAGTTACGTTAAATTCTAGTCCTCAGCATACAACTGAAGTTTGATTCCAATATTTTCACATCATAGAGTATTTCAATGTGTACAGGTACACTGTACATACATGTACATGTATGTTTAGCAATCAGAAATGGTATCAACAAAGGAATCAAGGCAACTCGTAGCTGTACCCAAGACAACTTGTCCCCAAAATTGACCTACATGTAAGTCAATTCGAACACAAGTCAAGTGGTACCCCAATCAACTCATACCCCAGTCAATTTGTACCAAAGACCACTTGTATTCAGGACAACTTGTACTCCATACGAATAAATGTGCTTTAGTCTTATATCAATGTATAAAAATACATGTATCGGTACATTGGCCCACAGCCAGACTTGTTTTGTAATTGGGTTGGGAGAAATAAAAACCAGTGCTGAAGTACTTGGATGTCCAGGTTAGTCTGTCTCCCTTGTCTTTGGTTTGACGAAGGTGACGATGGCGCACACAGGCTCTTGACCAGTAGGAATGGATTAAGCTGTATCATATCAAGGTGCCAGCACGTTTTTACGCAATGGCCATTATCTAATCGCAGTGGGCATTATCATTAATACACGGTCACATGGCACATTTCAACCAATAGGAATAAGGAAACTGTAAGGGTAAATGTGTGTGATAACCAGTTGATAGAGTTGCCGACCTATGTGGTTTGTGTAACGTAATTAACGAAACATATGCAGGAAGGCAAAAATTTGTTTTTTATTATTATTATAGTCACTGTGTAATATCCTTGCTTTGCGATGCTTGAATAATAAAATTAAATTATTTAAAACCGAAATATTCTTTAAAAAGAAATCCCCAATTTCCGTCGAGAACTTAAGCCACTGCCACTACAATTATTGAATTTAAAAATAAATGAAACCTCTTGCAGACTTGCCTAATGAAATCCTCAAAATTAAAAAGCCACTTGAAAACATTCTTTTTAAAAAAGGATAAAATCCTCTAAAAAGCAATAATTATCCCACACAATCTCATTTAGCACAAAGAGGACTCTGATCAGTGTTCTAGCCACGGTGGGCGGCCCCTGGTGGCACCACCCATTACTGCAAATTTCCACCCAACATGGATTTTCCAAGAAATGAATTGAAAAATTACTGAAAATGTACCAATTCGATTGTATTTCAAGCATGAGGAAGCGTTCAGAACATCTAGCTCGCATTGTTGCGAGACCCGGATGTGAAATTATGGGATATAATGTAACCTCCCCCAAGGCAGCATGCATGTGTTCATAGTCTTGGCTTGAGACTAGCCGAACAGCGGTATCAATAGGGGGCGCAATCCCACAATGAGCCCCGAGAGCTCCACTCACTGCTTGCTGCGCGTCGCAATCCAAAATATTTACCCGGCACTAAAATGGTCCTAGCTAGAACACTGACTCTGAATAAAAAAATTAAATTCTAAATCTCCCAAACAAAAACAGCCAATAGCTGGTAACTTCAAAGTGCAAACAAGAGTTGTGTTTGGTGCCACTCCTGAAATAAAGACTACAGAGCAAACACTAAAGTATTTGAAGAATGTGCATCTACATGTACATTGTATATTACAGACAACACTAGCTATTACGAATGAAACATGCAAGGGTACGAGTTGACTTGGGTACATGTTGACCGGGCATGCATTTACGAGGGTACGAGTTGACTGGGGTACAAGTTGACTGGGGTACGAATTGTCCCTGGTCAAGATGACCCAGATTCTCAACAACAGTGAGCTTGGCGAGGCAAATCCTGGCACAGCCAGCTAATGCAGCCTAGACATCTGGAAGTCTTTCATTGGTTTTTACTTTCATCAATGAATGATTGATCCCGAATAAATCGTTTGTCTGAATTGTTGATCAGGCAAACATGAAACAAGAAGTTTGCTTGCAAACTTGAAACAAGACGGTTTCCAGCAAACCCACTTCAATCCGCAGTTTCAGTTACATGACTCATGTTACATGTAACTGAAACTGCGGATTAAAGTCATGAGATACGCATTTTGAAACTGCTTTTTAGCAGGATTTCCGTAATCAACTGTGCCAGTAGCAAACAGAAGGTAGGCTAGGCCTAGCATTACACTGTCGGCATAACAAAGTTTAAACTTTATTATGTTGACAGTGTAATGAAAGTTTTTTGGAAAATTTACATGAGGTCTTTTCCCGGCAAGTCCTTCGCTTCTCCAATCCGTACGTAGAGCGACGTGTTCTTCACCATGTTTTTTTGCAGCGCAGTCACTGTATCAGAATATATGTCATCAAAAACATTTCATTTTGATATCAGAGATTATCAAATTATCACTTGCTTAACGACACGTTCCGTGCATCCACTCGCCTTCTTTGCCAGATGTCGTCTGCAGTGCATGCAACGTGCGTTGCGTGCCTGTACTGTACTACTGTACGCGTTTGCTCGTAAAATTGGTACTCCGCATATCCGCACGCACATCGAATCTTCACTGAAAGTTACCAACGAAGTATGTAATAGAGGGCGTTCGTCCATAAATCCGTGAAGTAGCAGACGACATAAAGTTATCAACACAAAACAATTATATTTCTCTTTCTAGTCTGCCAAATGATTGAAATTTTTATTTGAAGGGAATTGACCGTTTTCAGCGTCAAGTATTTTCTGAATGCCAATTTTGCTTTTTCAAAAATTTTGCGTCTCATGTATTGGAGTTTCCAAAAATTTAGTGCAGCGCCCCCAAGAGTCCGCTATTAGCCAAGCAAATTCTTGTATGGAGTCTAGATTCTGATCCAACAAGAGACATCATGCTGAAGGCAAAGATTTTAATTGTTGGACCGTGTGAGGTAAACTTTTGAATAACGTTTTTATGCAGTAGGTCAGGCTTGTCACAAGAAAGAACGTAGATTTTTGTCAAGACTAATGCAACTTTTGTGTAGGCCTGATGAAATGTTAGGCCCTACTGCAGACGGTTCGTCAGTTGGTCGTAGTCATGACAGCATGACGCTAAAATCATGCCGAGTATAGGAAGAGAATCCTAGACATGATGTGGATGGCAGCTACATGTACCTACCACCTGCCATCAACATGTTGTAGGGCCTATGGCTTGGGCCTATGGCTTGGGCCTATAACTATAGCCATGGCCTATCACAAATAGGCTTACTGCGTGGGTGATTTTGCACCATGGTAGACATGCATTCCAAAATATCTTGCCATGTTTACAACCCAACATATTTTAAATGTAAGTTTCAAATTAAAAATCAATGCATTGTAGGCCCTGTGTGTTATTGGGGTGTACTTAAATATATTGTGTAGGTGGTTGGGCAGTGTCTTTTAATCAAGTCGATCAAAATGTATATTTGCTGTTGTATACAGAACTTTGTTTAGTTGAAGCCTGTTCGTTTCTTATTTATCCTGTTCTATGTAGAGTGGGAAATCAGTGATTTCCAACTTTTTGGCTGATGCAACAGAGATATCTGGAGGAGAGTACCATCCCACTCAAGGCGTACGGTAAGAAAGAGGATACATGTACCTTATTAATCATTCCCTTTTCTCTTCCAGAAGCAGACCAGTCAATTTCACTTTTATTACTGGTTGATTAATTGTGCTGCTCTCTAATATTTTCCTGTTTATTGAGATAGTTTAAATTTGGGTGGAGGTCTTGAGCTATTTCAGTCAAATGACACTGGTCTAAATAGCAAGAGATTTTTGGTGTTTTATTGTTATCTTTACTTTCTTCAGGATTCTTGAGTTTGAGAGCAGCAGCAACCAGATGGGAGCTCGCTCCACAACAGCTGAAGTGGAATTATGGGATTGCAGTGGAGACCAAAAGTAAGCCAAGGCTGAGTACAAAATTTTGTTTCCTAGCCCCTGCTTTCTTTTCTACTCTGAAATTTTCCCCCAAAGTGCAATGTTTAAAAGAAGACCAACAGAATCAATTAGAACATAAATCTTGTAAGTTGTCAGTAATTTGGTAAGTTGTCAGCCAAAAAAATAGCCACGAAGAACTTACAGCACTTGGAGTTCAAGAACATCTTTCATCCCGAAAGCCCATTTATAAACTGCTGAAATCTTGGTGTCATTATTAGGCCAAGAAAAATAGCTGTGCTTTCGATCACATGCCTCTCAAAAATAGGGTCTGTAGGTTGGCAATTTTTTTTTTCTTTTGGTCATTTTTTGTGCTGATTGAAAGGGGGCGAAAGCTACCAAAAATTGTCATAAAAATTGGTTGAAACTTGCCTTAATTTATGTAGAACCATATACAGTCGACAATTCGTAAGAATTATGGACAATACACACCACTATACTCTACGCTAATCAGGTAATCACAACAGGAAAATCGTGAACTCCACATTAGCAAAGCACAAAGGGAACTTGTGATCATGTGCAGTGGAAGTTTCTTTCCATAGGTTGTGAATCTAAGTAGGAAAACATAACCGTTTTTGACACGAAAAAAGTTGTTGAGAAGTGTTTTGTAAAGAAGGGAAACACAACAGGATTCTAAATTATTTATAAACATTTTTCAACTTGTTTTTCTAACTTGCCGAACAAAATTAGGGTTGGTAAGGAAACCAGAAGCAGAACTATTTTTGAAGGAGGCCTTATAAAGGGATTGAATGTGCTCTTCTCATGAGCAAACTTCAAATCTCTCAATTTCTCATTTGCTGGACAACCTGTGCATTTCTAACCAGTATTATAGCACAGAACTTACTTATTTGTTTGTATCCAAGATAGCTATTGTTCCACTGGAAAATAGATTTTTACATCTGGCATTCAACAACTGTCAGTGTTCATGTATTGAATATAAAGTAGCTCTCATGTGTAAATAGCTGTGCAATCATTCAAAGTTGAGATCGACTATCAAAAGATTCTTTTGCTGCAGAATTAAATCAAACTGTAAGTGTGTAGAAAGGGGAGTTTAACCAGAGCACAACTTGATACTTGAATAGGGAAGCAGACTCTGGCCACCAGGCAAAACGTGTCCTGGTTAAAATAAAACAAACCATTTAAGAATCCCACTAAATTGGACCATCTTTATTGATGTGTTGATCAAACTCGAGCGACAATTCCATTGAAACAATAAAGACAAGTCTCACTTTACATCAATATAAAATTAAGTATCCAAGGTTTAAAACTTAAGACTAGAACAAATTAAACTAGAGACTGAGTAATAAAACCCCAAAACTGGAACTGCCTAGGAGATGAAACCCTAAATTTTAGGGAGTCATGGTGTAATCTATCATGTGAAAGAGTAAAACAAGTCAAGCTGTATCATTTCCAATAATGCAGTTGACCATTTCAGCAATTACATTTACATGAACTATCTTCCAATAATTGATACATTTACACACATGAGTAATGTTTATACCTTAATCAGGCATCCACCGAGGGTTGGTCATTCCACCAGTACTGACCAGTTTTCCATTGACTATTGGTGACATGTACTTGGGCCACACCCCAGTTGAGACCACGTAGCAGCCCAAATAATACAGGCTGATGCAGTGAGCAGAGACAACAGAAGGACTCACACTGCCCTCTCCCTTCCAGGGCATCTTATACTCTATTCATTCTAGAGTGTACACAGTACAATTAAAGGAATGCATTATAGCTGAATAGTAACAGTTGCTGTGTGATGTGAACAACTATGTGACACAATGATAGTACACCATAGACTTGCTGCAGGCAACTGGTTACAGGAAGTTTGGACAGTTTTGCTGGGAGCAGAGAGGCGTTTGCATTTTGTTTATTGTTTTGGAGTACAAAACTGGGGAGGGGAACAAACATGTTGCCCTGTCCCCAGACTAATAATAACAAATATTACAGCTGTTTTTCTCATCAAAAAGTGGCATCATAATTAGGGTTATTTTGGGTGGTTATTTTTTTTTAGTTTGAAACTACCAACTTGACATCTCCACTTTCTAGGTTCGATGAGTGCTGGCCAGCTATCATGAAGGATGCCAACGGTGTGGTGATAGTGTACAACCCTGACATTTCCTCCCATGAAAGAGAGCTTGAAATGTGGTAAGCTGGAACCTCTGCTTTGGTCTGCCACTGGAGCTTCTTTCCAGCAGCTTTCTTAAAACTGTACAGTCTCATTGGCAGCATCCAAGGTTCTGTGTAGGTCGTGCAAGCCCCATTTAGCGGCTACGGCTACTTCCCGTAGACTTGTTCATCATTGCTAGTCAAGTAGTTCCCGACACAGCCTAACAATTGAACCTTTGTTACAGGTACAGCCACTTTGTTGTGCAACAAGGACTGCGCGAGGCGCAGTGCCTCATCATGGGCCATCGCAAACCATCAGCAAAATCTGCATCAGTTGTAGAAATACGTAAGTTGACAATTGTGATTCGTTCATCGTTCATCCCTTCCTTGCAACTTCCTTGGTATTGCAATTCCATACACCTGCTGACCCTAGGTGTTCAGTTCCTTACACCTTTGCATCCTCCATTGTTCATTTTTTTGGCCAGGTACCAATTTCTTTCTTTCAAAGACCTTTCTAAGTCTTCAATCATTTCCTCAGCAAACTTCTTTTTGTCCGTCACTTCCATCACCATTCTACTACCCCTTACTCTCAAATTTTCATGAGAGATGATTAATTCCTGAGACCATGAAACAGTTTTTCTTCTACATCTTTCTCTGTAAGTTCAAAGTAAGATCATTTAAAGAGCATTTGAAGGGTGTGCGTGTATGAGGGCATGTCAGCCCATTTAAACTTTACCCACTTGCTGCCGGGTTTAATTTGAAGTTGCATGACATAGAACCAGGTGATTTTCAAGATTTTCCATTTCCAAAATTCTTCAAGAAATCATAGCTTCATTTACTGGACGTTTACACCCACACAAGTGACTGTCTGGTGGCTACTGTAATCTGACAGACAACAGCAATTGACGCCCGAGTATTTCAGCCAGGCCTGCGGCCTTGTAAGAAGAGCCCAGATTGTGTAGTGTTGTGTAATTTTCTTTTGTTCCCGAGACTATAGTGCGCTACTGGCATCTTTTCAATGGGGCCAGATTAAAGTGCAGTGGTTTGTATAGCTCATCACTGGAGCGCTTTTATCCCCGGTGTTAATCTGCTCTTGCTGAATGCCATAAATAGTGGTACATGTATAATCTTTCAAAACAATGACGGATTTCCTCCGCTATTGAAAAAACTGTTGGAAATTCCCTGCAGGTTGGTTTTTTGTTCGGAGTCTGGTCTTTTGTTACAAGGCCCAGCTCTCCGACTGTGCGTATAAAGAACATGCACCCTAAACCAGGCTCTCCGGCAGCATGTGGTTAACAAGGCTAATGATCCTCTGATATCACTCTAGTTTTACACAGATGAGAATGAACAAAAGAGTGGTAGGAGAATGTTTAGTTTTCCTTTACATGTTCAAAATGAATTGATTCAGAACAATATACAATAAAACAGTTGTCATTTATTGGAGGTTGTGTAAGTTTAGAAAGCTTGTAGAATCATCCAAGTTGGTTCTGTAACCAATGCAGTATGGTGTCATCTTTGAGCTTCCCTTTCTGTTTTCTGATCCACCAGCATCCTCTATGTCTAAAGTGCAGCACGTTCAGACCAATCTTGAGGAGGATGCGGAGAGCCTCAGGAGAGACTTCAACCGGTTCCTTGGCAAGGTATTGGGCGGAATGAGCCGCAAGCAGGACCAGGAGGAGCTCAGTATTATACAATGAAAAAAAAAAAAATTGTCAACACCTTATCAGGAGGAGACTGGGGATGATCTGGGGGTGTCAAAGTCGCCGGATCCCTCCTAGTTAACCCAGTCTGAAATTCCACCTGCAGATTATCACCTTCTTCATGAACTAACTTACAAGTGCTGCTGTATACTCTTCATAAAAACAGCACATGGAATAATTCTGGCTTCAAGAACTAACATGAGGGTATGCACTTGCATTTTGTGCACTGAAGTGTAATTTAAGATAGCACCCCTTTTGTGAATATGAAATTCATAGAAGAATGCTTTTTAAGGTTTGGCCCACTCATCTCTATACTTGTAGAATGTAGTTATATTTAGCTAAAAACCTTTCTAACTTGGAAAATTAAGAACGATTTCAGCTCATGAAAACAAAAATGTCCTAATGCAGTATTTGTGTTTCAGTTCGGGAAAACGAAAATCACAGGAACTGTAAATTGTCCATACGAGGCTTGCAAACAAGTGCTATTTTTTGTAAGTTTGGGATGTCATAAACAAATTGTGCACTTCAAGCGTTAAAGATTTTCTCACTAGGGAAATGTACAGCAAAGAAATTTAGAGGAGTCTGCAGGGCTAGTGGAACCACATTTGTGAGCTGCAGTTTTTTTTTCTTTGGTGCAGTCAGATGGATAGTTGAAATAACATTTCCCCTTGGATGAAGCTTGAAAAATACCATAAAACATGATGCAGATCAAAGTTTTCTTTTTCCCCAAATTTTGTTGCTGTAACAGAACAAAAACGTCTTCAATCTGGTTTGTACCTGCCACATTTACAGTAGAAATGTTATCCTGACTTAACACTGCTTAAAAAGTGGATGGGCATTTGTTCCATGAGAACAGACTGATTAACTGGAGGCATGGACTTGGATAACATTCGTGGGTAAGATTTCCGTCTGCAGACATCACTAATTTTCCCATGCAGTGGTTTATCAGCCATCAAAAAGTGATGACATGATCAAATTTAACAGGGGGAATATTGAGGCATTTCCCAAGAAAACACTTAATGTTTTCAGCCCACAGTCTCATAGGGTCCGTGCACAGGATGTCAAATTATGTCCCTCTATGGAACTCTTTCCCTCCTGTTGATAGCATTTAAAACAAGTATTTGGCTCCATTTTACTTCTAGCCCGCCTCCCTCTGTTTCGTCTTTGTAACATTAGTGACACGGACATGTTGAAAACTAGTTGTGTATGTACATGTATATTAAATTAAGTGTAAGATAAATGGACAGCTGAATTTTTAGACTCTATGTTTTCCAGTTGTATATTTTCTTGAATACAAATACTGTATATACAAGTGTGTAGATTTGTCAACTTTTCAGATGAACAAAGCAAAACGGTGTTTGTGCTTAAATCTGTCAGTGGTCCTCTAAATTTCCAGCGGCACCTCATATAATTTGAAAAACAGGACATTGTAATAAATGTTCAAACTTGGTAGGACTTAAATGTGCTATGTGGACAGCTTGTGTAGCTCTTCTTTAATGCAATAAATAGATGTTTTCATCACTTACATTGACCTTTGGCCTGAACTTTTTTGTTCAACAGTAAAGCCGCACTATTGAAAAGTGCATATGCATGTCTGTCCTGATGCCTGGCTTTCCTTTGCCTATAGGGAGTGTGGATTCTATTCATTCAGGGATTGCAATGTGTGCTCACGACAGGAAACGGACCACTGATCCCCACACAATAATTTACATTACCCTATTCGAGGTATACACAATAGGAGGGCGCTATCTGGTTATTTAGTTTAGGTAAAATATTTTGTGTTCACTCTAAATTTACCACAGACAAAGTATCTAGGTATTTTGATTCTGTTAAATTTACCCACATTTCAAATAGCGCCCCCTATTGTGTCCGCCATGCTTCAAAAAGGCTCATGGAGATTGCTGGATAGTGCCAGTGCGTGTACAGACTGACGTGTGTACAGAGCTGTTCATCTTTTTTCTTCGTTTTCAGGTTTCTGCATTCAATTGTCCACTGAATAAATTCGGGCATTGTCACTTTTGTGAAGGATGCTTTTGCATTGTGGCGTAAATTTGTGCCGGAAACTGGGAGGATGGGGAATGGTGGGGGATGCCTTGCCCGATAATGGGAATTTGAAAAGCGCAGAGCTACTGACACCATGACATTATATGGGACAGTGTTCATGTATTATATTCCTTCAGAATCTTCCATCAGAACGGCATTCGTGGCTTTTCAATTGTTCTTTCTGAGTGCTGTTGAATACATTTGGTTGTTGGGAAGTCCGACAAAATTCTTTCCGCTTTATTTTTGTTCTCACCACGAAAAAGTTTGTGGAGGGTTAATTTAACAGCCCATCTCTTGGTCAAAACAATGGGTGATACATACCCCCATGAGGGCCCCATCCCCTGAGATTTACGCCCATTGCTGTTGCATTTTCTGAACCACAGCTGAAGGGACGCGGCCAATCTGTGCTTCAGATTTGGGATGGCTGTTGGTTGCCACGCCCCTTCAGACCGGGACAATTCAGTGACACATTTTTTAAATGATACTTGATCTGAACTTGTAACGTTAGACATCGATTCTTTCTTAAAATCCGCAAAGATTTATTCTGCATGATTGAAATGCTTTTAAATTATGGTACGTCACAGAGTTTAATCAGTATTTCCTCAGTTTTATGTGGAAAGTGTTAAAATATGCATAAAACGTCACTCTTCAAAATCAGCAAAGGCTGCTCACAAAGCGAAGGAAAAAATGCATAGCTGTGAGTTCAGAACAAAGGGCAGGTACCATCCTCTGTCCACTGAGATGAAATGTTGCTTTAACGATTGAAGTTTTACCGTCTTATATATTAGTATCACCGTCAAATGTAATTTCACTCATGTTTTCGCCTGCAATAATAACACATTATTTACTAAAGCTAACTCGTGACTTTGAAAACAAAGCAGTGCTGTACATGCAACCTAATTCTTGTCACGTCACTTTTCGGCCCTCGTGCTGGTAAACCCGTTTTCTCAAAAGGGTCAAAACTGTGCATCTTTCACCAAAGCCGATACGTGCTGGGTCACGTAATTATTTCGCTGGGACTTTGTTGAGTAATATTTGATGCCTCAATTCGCAGCTCTCTGTATTGGCAAAACATCAGGGTCAAGGCCAGTGACGGTTTTGTCTGATGATTTTTTTTTTCGATGGGCAAATATTCTGATAGATTTTACAGCCAATTGTTGGAAGTCAGTAAATAAGTTAAGAAAAAGTCCTTTAAAGTGTGAGAAGTACCTTCGTGCAGATGACAATGCTCTGAGTTAAAAACGTTAATGCTATTCTTGTGCAGGGACACCTATTCGCACTTTGTAGGCGGCAAGGAAATGTGCGGCAACTGGGTTGTATTTCTTCTGATAAAATTTGTCACAACTTTGCACCCGTGGGCGTAAATCCTGGGGGGATTGGGGGTATATATCCCCCTCCCACTTTTTGAGGAGGGGGTGGACTATTGAATCACCCCCACATTTTTTTGTGGAGAGAAATAAATTAAAGTGGATGGTGAAGAATTTTCCGACTTCCAACGACTGAACTGCATTTTAATTAAAGATCACTCAAAAAAGGAAAACAAACATTTTTACAGTCATAATATGGCATCCTGAATACATATTACAGATGTACATTAATATCATGAAGATCTAACTCTATATAGAGTCATATTATGACCCCCTTTCAAATTTTCGTGTCACCCCCCACTTTTCCGCCCCCCCCCCCCAATTTCCAGCACAAATTTACGCCGATGCTTGCACCACAAAATGGAAGCTTTCAAAATAACTTTGATAATTTTGCAACATGTATCCAATTTGTTGATTTCAAATCATTGTGCTTTAGTGTCTGAATTCGTCTCCTGATTTCAGGAAGAGAGAGTAGGGGTGCCTGGGAGACAAGAATGTTTTGTTGATCTTTTCGGAGCACTCATGCATCGTCCCAAATCTGTCTGTGTCTTTAATGTAGTCCGCACGCAATGGCAGCCAAAGCCATAACAAAACAAGGTATAATTTATGAGTCACCGACCTTACGGGGCCATCTTGTGCTTTTATGTTACCCGCACGCCACGATTTAGTTCTTGTTGGGTATTTTGAAAAGAATTACCCCGTCCTTATGAAGCCTTTTCGATCGCAAACGTTTAGGGTTTGGTGGTCTATTCATTTCTGGAAAGAATCCAGGGTTACTTGAAGCGTGGACAGGGAGTATATTGCCCAAGGGTCGGATTTACAAAACACAAACAGGCCCGAGATGCCGAAATGAAATATTACCGGAGCCCCAGGACAACAATACTTCGTTTTTGTTCTTTGAAATCTTGTGTTTGGCTGCTGGCTTTTTTGTGCGAGCACCACTTGCAGCAGGTGCCACTTTCTGTATACACGTAAATTGTGCCAGTCGCCTATATACTCGGAGTTGGTGTTGTTGGTTTCATTGGTTGCAGGTTGATCACGAAACAGAAGAAAATTGACTGTGCTCTGGAAAAATCAACCGTGGACCATAACCTGACGAGTTCATTCTTTTCAAGTTTGTGAGTCAAACTGTTTCGGTCCTGAGAATCAACCATCCATATGCATCCGGCTCGATTAACGGCAAGTAAGGGTAACTGTGTAACTGTATTAGATCGTCGACTACCCGAGATTGATAAACGATCCCACTGGAGAAAACAACAAACAGTACCTAAACAAAGTACGTCAAATGACGCACGGATAGCTATTTTTGGCATATTTTCCGTTCCGGCTGAGAATGGGCGTGGATCCGTTCCACCCACCTGTTCAAACTAAAAACCCGCGCATGACTGGCAACTTTCACGAGCGATGACCCAGTGGTGACAGAAAAAATAATCTAATAACAGGGGGGCCGGCTTTCAAAAAGCTGCTACCATGACCAATGTTTTTAACTTGAGTTCCCTTTTCCGGGAGAACTCGAACACCGTTGATGGCACGATGACGGCTAACGCAGGATTGAAAACCGAAACTGTCGGTTACCGGGCACTGGCAGATTCGTCAGGTGGCGACCCAGGCTCAGATTTGGTGTTAACGGAATTTGGTCAATCAGACGGCAATGCCACGAATGCTAGTAGGCTCAACACGTGGGATCGGGATTCTTGGAGCAGTTACTCTCTCACCAGCAACCCTTCAAATCTTGACAAGCCTTCAAGGTTGGACAACACCAGAACAGTGGATGAATCCTTTCGCACAGTGAGCAGCCTCCTGGACCCAATCTCTCGCGGACCCAAGCTGTTGGGGCAGGGCATCATGAGACTGCTCAGCACCGACAATATACTGAGGAGTAACGAGAGATCGAGGCTGCACTCCCGGTCCAGATCCTTAGACATGCTCCTGGATGACAGACATTATGAAGAATTGAAATTTGAAGAGGAGGTAGGATACTTTATAAGATGCCGCATGTTCATTGCTGGTAGCAAAGGGGTGAGCAAACTGACTGATAACAGGGGTTAAATAGACATACACTACAAGAGCTTTTCGAAATACTTCAAGGGGATATCTATAGCCTAACCTCATTGGGGTCCAGACAACTTGTCCGTTGGGCAACTCGACCATGTGTGCATCAAACCGAAAGACAACTCTACGGTCGAGAGAAGTCGTCCGTTGAGACAAGTCGACTCGTTATGTGGGTGCGTCTAGCTATCTAATAAATTTCCCGGTCCCGGACATGAAAACCTCCATGAAATTTGACTTCACAATCCAAGTCAGCACCGGTAATCCATCGCACTGCGGTGTATGGCGTGCAAAGTTAACATTTAATCCTATTATCTCTATTCCTAGACTTGCCAAAAGTTAACATTTTTTTCCAGGAATAGAGATATCTCTATTAAACAGAGACATCTCTATTCCTAATAGAGATAGTTTGTGCTAAACATTGATCTCCATACGGTTCGTAAGTTTGACGTCACTTCAGTTAAATCCACGCCCACTGCACGCGCACATGCACATAGAGTGTGCATTGATCGCTGTTATATGGAACCATGGAACCGGAAGTTAGCGCGCAACTTCAGCGATCGTCCAATAGAATTAGCCTGTAAATCGTGGCGCGTCCGCCTTTGTGTGACGAATTCACTTACAAACCATGCATCAATTGTGCTGCGTTACAGCTTTAACATCCGTGCACGCGCTTGCCACGTAGTTGTCTCTGGGTTGAAGTCAACTTGTCTTGACGGACGACTCATCTTAACGGTCAAGTTGTCCTGATTCAAGTTGCCCGAACAAATATACGGACGAGTTGTCCGGTAACCTTTTCATTACTTCCATCCAGCGAGTGCGTGCAGCCGTAAATGCATCGCGGAGGCGGAGGACAAGGAGGCCTCCAAATGAGGAGGCCTCCCTGGCCCCCTAAGAATTGAAAGAATTTAAAAAAAAAAAGAGTGTAAAGGGACGAAAATGGAATCGCAAGATAAACGTAATTGAATAAGTTCAATTTCATTTTAACCACAGTGACGACTGACATCTGCTTTGCACGTAACTGCGTCACTTTTGTTATCACACCCTTTCCTAACGACGTTTATTAGCCTCAAGTTATCAATGCCGCAATGGAAAGAGGGCGCCCTCAGTGCACTTGGCCAAAGTTGTCTATGGTCTTAAACCCAGAATTCTTTAAATGCAGTAGTTAGTTACGTGTATTTGGGGACCACAGTGTTTCCGCGGTATTAAAACTTTTTCACGAAGCTGTGTGAAAGTTCATTATAGATAATGAAATTGTATCGTTAGATCACGAAGAAGTCGCTTTGTTCAGTCACGCTCTTTTCTGCTGGACCACCGATGATTTTGATGTCTGGATAAAACAAAGTTCAGTCAAGGCTGATCCGTGTTTTTTTTTTTCTGGCTTAAGACTTAGGCTTTAAACTTAAATCTGGAAAAGTGGACGACGGTCAGTTAACTGTTAGGCCAAGCCCCTCCTTCCTATCCTCCATGGGCCTAGTGTCATTGTCACTATGGTAGCAATTATTGGTAGGCCCACTGAGTGATAGGCTAGGCCTGCAGCTTATCGTACGTTAGAGTGTTTGTCAAAATGCCATCAATTTGGGTAAGTATAATTAGCCTAGTATTACGCTGTCCAGCAAATGTGATATTGAGTGATCAGATGAGTAAAAGAGTTCCATATATGGACAACACTTCTTTTCGTGTTTTCCCTAAAATAACAGCTGTGACGTGTCAGAAAGCATAGGCCTAGGCCTAAGATTAATTATTGCTGATACCGCATGAGTGATTCTGCACAATGATAGAAAGGCACTATGGGAAGCAAAAGGGGCAATGTTTGCTCCTTTTTCCTTCCCACAGTGCCTTTCTACAAGTGTACAAAATCACTTCTGCGGTATCAGCAATAAGGCTTGTGGAAAGGGATAATTAGATGGGGAGGTTTAATCACCTAGTACCGGTATATCCTCGTTAAAATGGTGAAATTCTTGAGCATTTTGCCCATCCACACTACAGACAATCAGCAGCAGGAACTCTCAATAACTGTCAGCTATGTGATAGCTTGACCAATCGCAGCACAGCTCCTGTCTTTTCCTTAAATAAACCTTGCCATCTGACATGTAACTTCACTAAGCAGGCATGTATAAAATTTGATTGCACAAATAGTCATGATGGAAAGGTAAGTTGGCACAATCAAAATGTGTTTATGCGAGATTGTACATGGCTATCAAGGAAGTAGATGATGGGAAGGTAACTTACGGGTACCTTTGGGAAGAAAAGAGAAATTCCCCATTCAAATGGGAAACTCTCCTTTTATGGAACTCAAAGTTGCCATTTTGTTCAAGTTGTTGTAGCGACTTAAATTGTATGCTGATGTTCAGGGATACTATCAATGAAGTCACAACGTGCTGGTCAGATGCACCATTCGTAATTGAGTCTAGGGCGTGTGCACATGTATGCCGATGACTATTTCTTGAAGGGCACAATGTCTACTGTAGGAACTTACATTTCCTTGTTAGCTCTACATTTTTCAGTTAAAAAAGGATTAGATCTCATGAGGCATTTTACCCTGCCAACATAATGTATACATGTACATATAAGTGTATATAAGGCATGTTTTACTTCAAGTTCCTTATAGTAGTTAATGTTCGACCATATGTACAGGTCTGTTAATGAATCACTGCAAAGAACATTTCTGACAGTAGACTCTAAATAAAACAGGGCTTAAAAGCAGATTAGTTCAAGTAACTTTTTCAACTGTGTTAGAGAATGTCTGTAATACTTGCTTATTAGAATTACATGTAAATGTTGGTCAAATCTCAAACATCTGTACTGTTGCCTCTAATACTGTGAATGTAGATGATGTACAAAATGGGGTTGATATTACTATGAATATTCACCTTTGTGTCACTGGCTGTAGCTACGGTACTCAAGACACACTAGCCTGAGGCTGATGTTCTCGCATTTGTTTTGTTTTTCATGAGTTTTCGATCACACTGAATTGTTCTTTTGTTGCATTTGCTGGATTCTTTTTGTGCACTAAGACTACCCCCAGAACTGTGGGGTCCAAACTCTCTTTTTTTGCCCGATTGTTATACAGAATTCTGCGTTGTATTAGAAAGAGATGTACGTACATGTGCTTGCGTATTTTTCACATTGTGGTGACATGCTTCAAAATAGAATTTTCCATTGATATTATCTCCTGCAGATAAGTGATGAAAATGCCAAAATGTCCCTTAAAATTATAGGCTCAAAAGTACTGAACCATGATACCTAATACACATCGACTGATAAATGTTTTTCCAGACAAAAACAGATAATGTAACATTGTTACCAGGCAACTCAGTACCATTGTGGGGCATTGAGGAAAAACACCTCATGCCTTTCCTGTGTTGAAGGAGTGTATAAACACTGCATTGCAACCAGTTGCAGCATGTTGGAGAGGGTGTTAGACTTGCTCCTAACTGTTTTGCACTTGGGGTAAAGTATGTGCATGTGTTTGACCTCTGTCTTCTGCGAGTTAGGAGTATTTCTGGATCCTTGCCTACTGCAAAGCCCCTGAAGGATAGCAAGGATTGGGACTGAAGCAAGTCTAGATATCAGACTTTGGACTTTAGTGGCAAACAGTAAACCAATTTGTGTACGTGAACAATCGGACTGTACTATTATTTTGCTTTGTGTTTTGTTAACTTCAATATTGTCAGTTTACAAAGTGAAAAGTGTGTTTTAAATACGATTCCATTATTGGCAAATCTGCATTTTTTTAACAGATGTTTTGTGTTTGTAATATTTTACTGGGGGGGGGAGAATTTAATCATTTCAGTGATGTACATGTGCTCTGGAATGTCAACAATTAACCAAACCAATAAAGGATTTTGAATTTGTTGTTTACATTATTTAATTTTGCTTTGGTATGCTTTCATGTCACTGTATGCACAGGTGTGTACATCTTGGGATCTTAAGTTATTCCTTCCCCCCATTGTTAATGAAGTTAAAAGTTTCAAAGTTATTTTTTACAATGCTCAACTGTACAATTTGATATGCACCATGTGCTCATCAAATCTATCTCCACTGACCCTCTAGGCCTACATCAGCTGAAAAATACTCGGATCATTGTGAAAATGAAACAGGTTGTCAGGTTGTGTTTTCTTGTCTCTGTCAAGGGTATCAAAATTGGTTTCCGTTATCACAGAGTCAATAACGAAAATATGCCATGGACATTTTGGCTCCGGCTTGGCCTGTTGTAGGTGTCCTTGTGTGTAATACTGTGGAATACCGGAACATCAGTTTATCTACAGTATAAAGGCACACTGTAATCTGCAGCATAAGTCCACTAGAAACCGGAAGCATTTCTGGCATGTTGGCATGGTTTCATAATCAGCATGTACCTGACATAGTTTGCAGAAGTCATCAGGTTTCAGTCACATTGTTCACGGATGTTAATATTTTGGCTGAACTTTATCTTGTTCTGAACACTTGTGCTCTACACAGCTGATAGAGTTCAGCATTTGTTATAATATGTACTAGTACAGGTAGTTTTCAACCATGTACCTTGCATATTGCAGTATACCGGTAACTGCCTGTTCATGAAATGTTTATTCGTACACGAATAATGGATAGAATAGATTTTTCAGGTGGGAGTTTGAGATAACTAAAACATTTTGTTTCATTTGGTTTCTCCCACACGCGAAGCCTAAGATAGAGTTACTTTTTTCTGACACATTCCAAGTTCTCAACTCCCATTTCTCACAAAAGTCTCCTTGTGGCAAGCATTTTAATATAAATGAGTTGCCGCAGATATCTCTGTGGTAAATTTGTTTCAATTTTTTTCTTGAATTCAGTGTAGCTGCCCATTGAGCCCTGAAAGTTGGTTTCAAAAGATGCTTTGAAATTGTAGACACTTGAGTGTACATGTATACATAGCATACTTTATACAGTACAACCTACATGTACCGTAACTAAATCAATTAGTCCCCACAACTCATCTCTCGGCATATGGCCTTAGTTGCTGTACGTTATAAAAAAACTTTGATGTAGTTTTTGTTCACAAGTCAGCATTAAATGGTGTTGTGTAAACTGAAATAAAATTGGCCTGTTTATCTCATGAACTGACTGTCATGACAGCAACTTGCTGCAGCTACATGTAGTTTTATGGCTTTGTTATTTTATTTCAAAGATATGCAAAATCCTGGTTACGTACCGTGGATTGCATATTGACATGCTGTCAGTGTCAGCAACTGATACCTATAAATTGATTTGTTGGTAAACTTTGCTTCATCGTCAACTGTCGACATCCATGTAATTATTTGATCAAATATTTTAGACATCAATCTTTCTTATTAACATTCAAGCCCCACTTATGTGGTTTTCCACACATGTAACCAAATTTAGAAAAATAAGACTAACTGCTGGGTAGCAACCATGGTATGATGTCTACCTGCAGATAAAGTGGAGATAAGAATTTCAGCGGCGAGACCGGAAAACTAAACAATAAGATCACTCATAATTACTCTAGCTGTCGTTAGTTAGTGCATACATGTACATGTAGGTACTCGCTTTGCTGTGTTGGGGCCTTTTCATTATAGTGTAAGCGGCCATATGGTTAGTCGGTACAGGTGTAGTCTCATCCTTGTTGGGAATATTTCCTTTCAAGATTTTGTTCACCACTTCAAGGATGTCCATGTTGGTATGTTTGCTCTTGTGTTACTGGTGCGAATACCATAACCTGTTACTTTGAAAAGTGGGCCACCATGATTTGATGGTGACAATGTCAGGGTGTTAAACTCAAAGGCAATTCAGTCAACTTTGAATGCATATTATCAGGTTGGACTACAGTTGCTGTATCCTATTGGATCAGGTTGTAGATGTTTGCATATTTCTTCTAAGTCTTATAAAGTACCATTTGTATTAAATATACCAGTATGTGTACAGTTTTTGTTTTTTGAGAATTTCTAGTTTCATGTTTCTTACCATAGAATATGGGTAAAAATGCTTCCAGTGCGTGATTTGCACCACAGGCACATGTAATTGATGATGGCAGCACCAATACTAATAAGTTTGAATGGAGGCTATACACTCCGACAGGTGCTTTGTAGTACCTGCCTGTACAGGCCTGACCTACGCAGGTTCATGCCAACAGATTTACAGCAGTACAATAAAGCCTAGATGTTGATTCATGGTCTTGTCTTCTTTCATTGCCTAAATGACATTTCGGGACGAGTTACCCGCCATTTCTGATAAGTGTAACTAGAATGCAAAATGGATTTGCTGCACGCTAGCTGTCCAAAGAAAATTTGAAAACAATAACAATTTGACATGTGTTCACTGCACAACAAAAATTACTGAAAACACAGTAAATATAAAGATTTGGAAAGAGTACTTATAAAAAACACAGTAAATATAAAGAGTTGGAAAGTGCACTTATTGGGACAAGTATCTTTTTGATTGCACAGTGTATTTGAATTAAAACAAATCACAGTGCATTTTACAAGTATTTCTGTTAAGAGCTGCAATGTTTATGCCGTAAATTTGAAGAGAATAGGTCAAAAGGTTGTGTGATACTTGGATGATGTTTTTTGTAATGCCAAACACAGCCTGCATGCTGAAAATATTTGGAATGTGTTCAGCCAGTGATGTACCGTAAACACATTGTCGATGTCAATTTGGGGAGCTCTGGGCTTTCAATCCGGGATACAGAAAAGAAAAAAAATGGAGGTCACCAGAACTTCACGGCGCCAATGTGGAACCCTGCATGTGCCCCTGTTACAGCTAAACAAGTACGTGTAGACCCCCAAAAACTACCTGGTCTGCAATGGGAAAATAAGCTTGACGTTTCTGCTGAATAGAAACGAAAATCCCTCTGACCTTGGGCATTCTTCTTTGATAAATTGCTCCGGTTTTGGAAGGATCAACATCATTGGCCACGCTGAATGAAAACCTGATTCACTCGCATGCACCAACTTCATTCACCCACCGGAAATTCAGCACGTCCCAGTAATCCTTATGGGAAAAGCTACACTACACGCTAATTGATGTGGTTGGGTTTATTTCACACATCCAGGCTTACCCCTTTGGTCTGATTATATTTGCAGTTTGATGGACAGTCCAGCCACGGTGCTTTCTCATTATGAGTAATTTTTGCTGCATCAGCAAGGATTGATCAGTTTTGTACAATCATGGTTGAACATCGGGCATTTTGTGACTAATCTGTTCATGTAATTTCTATTTATCATAGTGAAAAGCACACTTGAGTATGGAGTCAAGAATCTTGCCCGTGATCAGTCACGTGAATTTGCTTATAGTATTCTCTACTTACTGCGCAGTATGTACATGTAGTAAAATAAACGACACTAACAGGTGTATAAATAGAAAGTAAAATTTTGTTGACCATGTCCAATTTGCGTATGTTGTGACTGTGACTTCAGCATTTGTCATTAGCAGGCCACAGCTTATAGCCACAGCCATACACATAGATGACAGTGCAATTTTGGACCTTGCTTAATTTCGCCCTTTGTGGCTGGTCACTGTGTAATCTAATTTTACAAGTCAGATACCCTTAAATTAAGTAGGAACTTCAGATCCAAATCGCAGTAGCACCATTAATTGACCTCCACTGGTGTAGAAGAAGGATCCATAATAAAACCACAATGTTGTCATAAAAACCACAAAATGCCATTGCTCTCTGTTTGTACTGGTATTATCAACCACCACACTGTCAGGAGCTACATGTACATATCCATGTACTGGTACGTTTCTCATTCCTGACCCATCTGATCAAAATAAGTCAAAGGTTGACTACTTTTTACACACAGTGTTTTACACAACATGCTTTACCTTAAGTAAATGTCAGTCTGGTACCTCATTTATAAGGATGTAGGAAGTAATTGATATGAAGATCTCATCATTCTTAAAGTTCAAATTACCATGGAATTGTCATTAGAAAGAGATAAGCCTTTTATATTGTTTTTTTGTCATCACTGAAGGAAAAAGAATTACATATATGTTTGAAGAAAGTAAGGCCAATCTTGGAAATACGGTATCTTAGTCAAATTGTGGTTTTTTTTTAAGATTTAAGTCTTGGAAGAAGTCTTAGTTAAACGGCTGTAGTGACCAAACTCCAAATCAATTAAATACATGTAAGTGTGGAACGTACACCATATTTGGTCTTTTGCCGAAACTGCAAGGAATTCTAAATTTGTTTGTATGCTTGTTTGGTTCAGGTCACAAAGATGGAGCCAGGCTGTGATAGTGCACCTGCTCTCCAACCTGAGGTAAGTTTGATAGCAAATTTTGTTTTCATTTTTCTCAAATGTTAGTCAAAAAGTCTCATCTAAAATACCCTCTGTACTTTTAAGTATCAATCAATAACATCTTTATTGTCCATATTTGGTATTTTATCACCGTGGCTTTTCACGTTTTCTACCTTGAATAAAAGTGTGATTTGCCAAAGACATACATGTATAACCTACAAATGTTCAAATGAGTGAAGTAAACCAACATTCCTACTTTCCTTTTCTAGTTTGTGGATTTTTACACCAAGTTGTTGCAGAGCTTTATCCACCCGCTTGGGAAAATCAGCGCCAGTGATCCAAATCCACTTCAGTTGGCTGCTCATTTGCAGAAGGTAAGCATGCAGTATCTAATAACTGCGACACTGTCAGACTGACTTGGTTCTCCCCAAATTTGATCAAAGTCTGCAGAAAGGAAAAGGTATTTACATATATGTAATGTACATGCTGTTCTGTGTCAGAGGTCAGAGGGCCAGATTTGTTGGACGTTGCAGAGTTGCAAAATGAAAAGCTGTGAATTTGTTGCAAAACTGGGGAGTTTGCTTGAGTTTGAGTGTGTGGTTCAACTGCATCTAATTTATTAGCTACACCTGGCAAAACACACAGACATACACCTGGAAGCAACTGGATGAATAACTTCACATGGACATGTGTGGTACTGTCGGCTGTGGCCACATGCGTATATTTCAGATGTACAGTAGCTTACATGTAATTAATTTCTGTGATTTTTGTTCTTTAAGCGTTATCCTCTCACAGATGAATTCACAGTTTACAGTCTCAGTATTTGATACCTGGAGTTCTATGTTGTAATGATACAAAAATAAACCTGACAACTTCAAGGAGATAAAACTGCACCATCATGTGATCAAACATTTTGAATACACACTGGCATAGTGTTTGGAAAAGATAAAGATGCAGAACCATTTAAAAGTTCCCAGTGCCCGCAACAAATTTGCAGAATCCAGTGTCAATAAAACAGTGTTGACCTACCAGTATGATTTAAGGCACCAAAACAAAAACAGAAAAGGGTTTTTCTGTTGCAAGCTGCTTAAGTCATTGTTAAAATTGTTTCTGTATCAGGTGTTTGACGTCCCTAGTGAGATCCACGCGGACATGATGCAAGACGAACTTGGCAATAAGGTAATGTATTAAAGGTTACTTTGCAGTGTGGCAGGTACACCTTGCCACTATCATTCCGTGGCATTTATAAGTGCAAGTTTCCAGTTATCAATTTTTTGTTGCTGGTTTAATATCGTATAATCTAAACACACACATACTATACTGTTCTGTAAATATTCTCATGTTCGCACCTGTTTTATTCTGAAAACAATCCAAATGTAAGCCACACAGTGCATTGCATTCAAATATCATTATCTTTTCGTCTGAAGACTGGAATTCTAAATGGAACAGAAGAACAAGTGGGTGTACATGTAGATATGTGAAAAGTTTTCATGTTGAGATCACTCTTGGGGGTCCTTCCATAACGAGAGGCTGTACAGTACTCCTTGAAGTATATGTCACCAAAACAACACAATGGAACTGTACCATGTACATGTCAGTGTACTGTGGCCCGTCTTGTATTCTTGTAATCATATTCTCTATATTCTTTGTAATCATCAGCCCCCAGCTTGCATGCTGAAAGTCACAGTGGTTGAGGCCAAGGACATTCTCGGCATGGATGCAAACGGTGAGACAGATGAACATTTTGATACCGGGATTTTTCTCTGCTGGTATAAGATCTGCAGAGAGATTTTAAATCAGTATTTAAGCTGATGCTTTCTGTACCAAGCTGTTGTAAAGCCGTAAACATGTTTCTTTTCCAATTTTAAACACAAAAGGGGTCTTCATCACTTCCTGCTGGGGCAGTTATCAATGTTGATGATGCTGGGGTGGGATATTTATCATTTTTTTCTGTTTTCAAAATTCTTAAAAAATTCCTATCTTCATTCACTGCATACTTATACCCACACGAAGAATTGTCTGGTCTCCACTCTAGCCTGACAGACAAAACTATTGATGCCTAGACCTGCAGCCTTGTAAAAAGAGCCCAGATTGTGCGGTGTTATCTAACTTTCTTTTGCTCACGAACCTGCCACAGTGCGCTGCTGACCTCTTTTCAATAGGGGCCAGATTAGCATGCAGCGGTGCTGTGTGGCTCATCGCTGCGGTGGTGAAGCATTTTTGTCCCCGGTGGTAATCCGCTCACTCTAAATGCCCCAAATCGTGATATACTGTTCTAAAACAAGGCTGGATTATCTCCACTTTTGAGAGTGAAAAAATATTGGTAATTCCCAGCAGCCTGGTCTTTTGTGCCGAGTACGGTCTTTTGTTATAAGGCCCTGTTCCCTTTGTCCGAGTTCGGAGCCCCTTGCCACGCATATAAAGCATACGTGTCCAGATCCGGAATCCCCGACTTTCGTCCGCAATGCTAATCCAGCAGCAGGTCTTTTGTTCCGAGTACAGTCTTTTGTTACACGGACCAGCTCTTTTGTCCCATTTTGGGCAGCCCGGCACTGTGTATAAACGCATGGTGCTCGAAACAGGGTTCCCCGGCAGCAAGTGGTTAAGGACCTTGATTCGAAAGCTAATTTAAAATTCGTCTGCTGTCTTATTCAGTTTATCTGTTTCACTGCACTTTTCTTTTCATAAACCAAATTTAATAAATATTTAGACTTTTGGGCACTTTATAATATGCAGGCATATGCAGCAGTGCAGTGGATTCCCCATAAGAATGGCAATGAGATTTGGCAATGAGTACATACCTGCATGGGTTCATGTGCAGAAATGGTGACCAGGTGTCCGTTTTAATGCCCACAAACCTTGGCATTGCCAATTAGAAGAAACACAAATGAGATTAGCACATGGCTGTAGCAGTGCTGAAGTTTTCATGGACAACAAAATAATTCGTATTTTCCTAACTCGGGGAATAGTCAGACTTACTTGCTACTGCTGCCTAATTTCATCTAGGAATGAGCGACCCCTACTGCCTCCTGACTATATGTAAGAATGAGCATCACCACTCCCCGTCTCACGAGAAGCACCCACACCTCACCCACTGGAACTCCTGCCCCGAGGACCCCACCAGTCCCGCCTCCACTCCAGTCACCAGCCAATCGGAGAAGGTCAACCGCCGGAACTCGGACGGCCGGCGAAGCTTCAAGAAGGGGAGCCGGAAGAAGTCGGACGATGGCGGTGCCACCCTGCCCAACCAGATCCAGAAGCAGCGGTCAGACACCCTGACGGTGTCCGGCAAGGCCCACAACAGGCGCAAGAACTCAGCCGAAGGGAGCGCCATGGCCTCGCCCAGGTCGCCCATCCACAGCCAGTCCCTAGAGGCAGAGTTTGTCTTCAAGACCAGCTGTCAGAAGGCCACACTGCATCCTGTGTGGAACGAAACCTTTGACATGTTAGTCAAGTTCCTTTTACGGTCAAGTTCAGTCTCTGCAACAAAGAAAAATCCTTAACTTCCAGGACGTGGCTTTCAGGTCAAAACAAAGTTTGGGTGTTTTTATACGTTCACAAAATTAAAAGTATTAACATCTAAAGAGCACAGTCAAGAGGAACAATTCACAATGAAGTACACCACCAACCATTTACACAGAAAGAATACATTATAATTTCATGGTCGGCCTACCACATGTACATTATATTACATACTCCCCACTGGCACCTGTCTTTTGGCAGATGATGGGTCCTCAAAGAGCAGGTACTTTTGTACTATCAGACCAAAGAATTCTGCGTTATAGTTATTAACCATCTCAAACTGATCATGGTTGTTTCTTGATGTATTTCTTCCGTCAGTGCAATATCGTCCATCAAAGACACAGAGCTGACCCTGACAATGTGGGACATGGATGAGGAGACCAGTCTCTGGCAGGCCTGTAAGAGTCTGGAGTCAGAACACAAAATGGCAGGAATTAAAAAGTATGTTCAGCCACGTCTGAATTACATGGCTATGGCTTGACATGGTACATGTGTTTATGGAAGCCCTTTGCTGTAGTGGTTGAAGCCATTTCCCATTCACTAGTGTGGTGCTCCAGCCGTAGCCAAGAAATCAGGACATGACCTTATAGTCGGTTCTTTCTTACACTTGGAATTTCATCTAGGTTGTGCAGAAAAGAGTGTTAGCTCATGAAACAGAAATATAGAAGGCATGACAAGTTGGAGATTGTTTTAATTTACCTTTGTTGAAATAAGTTGCATGTTTATGCTCATCATTATGTGAATTTGCTTCGCCATCAAATTGATGAGATGTGCACACATTGGAACAATGCAAATGTCTTTAAATTCTTGGTAGGATCTAGACACAAACGTCAAAAAATAGCTTCTGAGAAAAATCAAACAGAACTAAAATAGAAACATGCGCATGTAAAATTGAACCAAAATACTTAAAAAAGGTCCATCTTTCCAAAGCCTGTTTCGTCACATCAAACACGGTATCAACAAGAACACTGACGACTTCTTGGGCCAGGTTGTTATCTCCTTGGCCGACCTTCCGGCAGTAACCCGCGTGGATCAGTGGTACACGTTACACATCAACTCCAAGGGATCGGGTCCAAGCAACGGTGGAAAGTGTCACATGCGGCTACAGTTTGTCCGTGAAGAGGTAATGAGTACCCTGTCATACATGTACATCCAAAACACATCTCATAGGACAGGAAAGGGATTTCAGGGTCTTGGCCGGGGGGGGGGGATTCTTTTGGGGAGGGGAATGGAAGGGGGACAAAGAATCCATCAGCTGCAAATGGACAAACCATCAGTGGTGGAAGGGGATCAAATCTGAGGTATTTTCAAGCAAATTGATGATTTCTGTCCCCTATAAATCTGTCATTTTTTTCCTTTTCTTTGTTTCTTTTTTGGGGGGAAGGGACATATTTGCCTCTCTCCATCAAGCTGTATGAGCAGGTACATATCTGGGCAGAGCTGGTTATTGTTGATGAGTGATTTGCATGAATGAATTGTACATTTCCTGTTGCGTCTGACCAGACTTGTGATTTGACTTGTTAGACTGTTGATGTACAATGTACTTGACTGTAAATATGCACATTCTTATTTTCATTCCAGGATTACTCAAAGAAAGGCAACCCTTCCATGCTGACGTTCTACCATCAGTTAGCATCAGCAGTGTACAGATATGAAGGCCAAAAATACATCAGGGTATGTAAATTTACCATGATTGATAATTATCTATTTGTTCACAGTCACTCTTGTTAATGTGTAAGTGACTGATATTGTTTTACGTGTGTGTTACACTGGAGGCATTCTCATTTGGGTTGGATTTTTTGTTGCAGGAAGGCAAAGGGCCGTGGGACGGGAAACTTCCTGAGATCAGCCGACACATGCTGAACTGCTTTGCGATACAAGCAGGCATCTCCAAGCTCTCACAGACGCTCATGTAAGAAATGTTCAGATTTTGAGTTTATAGTTTTCTCTTTGTCCAACGTATGTTGACATAAAATTATCAAGGCTGTTAGAGTTTCCACACTATGGTGGCTCTTTCACAGTCAAGGTACCGTTGTGTTCAGTTTTCTCAACATATCGTACAGTACTATTGATCACAAGCTGTTTTGACATTCATAGTTTTGCAGAGGTGTTTTTATGTCTCCTGTCTTATTTTTCCAATTTGATTCGCTTCTCACTGCATCCTGCAGAAACCTCTCGTCTCTTCTGGAGTTTCACCACCACCAGAATTCCCCAACCTATGAATTTCTGTCCTTGACAAGGCTGTCCATAAGCAGTCTAGGGAAAGATGAGGTAGACTCAGTGTCGGTCAGCAGCCTGCTGGAGTCCACGGACAACATCCAAAGGGCCGGAGAGGAGAAAGGACAGAAAGACATCAACAGCAAACCAGGAGAGGAAAAGGTTAGTGCTACACCTAGGGCTCTCCCAGTTTTGTCCATCATTTTCACATATGTACAAAATGTACATTTTTCTCTGACACCCCGCCTCCTGAAAGACTTCTCAAGAAAATGACAATGGCCGGTTGTCGTTTTGTCACAGTTTGTGAAAAGCCTGTAAAGGCTGGGTCCACCCCTCCCCCAGGTTATGTTTGTCCAGATATGTTCATGAAAATGGGAAAAAATAGAAAACCCCTACAAAAAAATTGGTCTAGGCTGAAAAATAGGGAAAGATATGATGCAACCTCAAATCAGCAAGTTGTTTCTTGTAAAGTTCCTGATGGGTAATGTTATAAGTTGTTTTGTAACATTCATTCAGTACCTTAAGTGATGTTTACAACAGAAATGCATATTTTTCCCGTTTTGGGTGTTTCAGTTTGTAGTGGAAGGTCACTGAATGACTAGGAATAGCATATTTTGTTTTTTCTGCAGTGATCTTAAAGCTTTTATCACATAGAAGCATGGTGTGATGCCCTTTGTGTAGGTTTCTGACTAAAATCCCATAAGAGGACTCATGGAGATTACCTTTTCCGCATTGCATTAGTGTCAGGTTCCGGAGGTCACACTTTTTGTGTATCCTCTGAAAGTAATGCCAGTGCTCTTCCTGCAGGCTAAAGAAGACACGGACACCTCGCTGATGGACCGGGCCTTGAGGGAGGCCATGTTCCACGTCCATGCTGAAATGATTGCCGAAACCACCTTCTCCATCTACAGCAATGAGGCAAAGGAGGTGAAACAGATCTATGCCGAGAACCCCAAGTTCCTCTCGTACGAGGTAAGGCATCACCACCATATTTGCCTATGAATTGATTTTTACCTATGTAAAGTTCTAGTATAGTGTACAGCCACGCAATCAAGCTTTTTTTTCTTGGTCTAGGCCCAGACTTATTGTTCTTGTTGGATTCTCACAGATTCAGCAAAATTTGACAAGTTGGTGTTATGGGTTATATGGGATGTAGTAGGATGTTTATAGAAAACGGAATGGTAATATCGGTGAACTCATTGAACCAAATGCATTTTTTGTCCTTTGTCATGTTTTGGGATTATGTGCATATTCTTTATGTTTATTTCCATCTGATCTTTATTTCAAAGAATGAATTAAGAATGTAACTTAGCTGTATTTTGTCAACACATCTTATATTTCCTCATATTTCTTAAAAACCATGAAGGTGCTTTGGACATTCTCTCAAAGAAATGGGAAATGTGCCTACATTTGTGCATTTTATTCTCAATTTCTTCATTGTAGTTTTTCCTGCCAGGAATGTGACAGCCAGCAAGGTGATGATAACTTGTTGAAGTCTGTATTTGTGTTTGTGCTAACCTTGCACGATGCCTGCCTTGTATCCCCACTGCATGATTGAACTTACTCCTATATGTATAACCTGGCTTTGATTTCAAGAGTCCTGTGTGTATTAATTGATACATCTCTGTGTCTTGATTTCCTTTTTTATTTCTGGGCACATCAGCAACAAACAAAATGGTCAGATGTTTCCAACCCCTCCTCCCCTCTTTTTAACCTTCGTGATATAATTTGCATGTTTCAAATGTGCATGTTTGCATGAGTTTAATAAACCTTACCGGATGTTCTTTTAGTCTTTAAACTGCTTTAGTTGCACAACCAGATCACATTAACCCTAACACTCCTCAGTCCTCCAACAGGGGAAGAATTGAGGAGTGTTAAGGTTAATAAGTAATTCTTCAACTGTTTGTTTTTGTATCAGTATCAACAAAATGTTGAGCCCTTGTTGATATTTTGTATTCTTGAGTTGCTTGAAATGAGAGTCCCAGATTGAGTATGAGTAACTGACCCACTCATCCTTGTCCAAAGAAATTTTCATTTACCCAGATTACCCCAAACCTGCCACAGTCTAAATCTAACAACTGGTCTGCATGATTTAAGAAATGGATCAGAAGGTGGTGCCTTCCTATAATTACGTGTACATTGGCCTTAATGTCCCACTATGTTTACATCAGAATGTGCCATACTGGTTGTGAACATGGCAGGTTTTGACACAGACTATGGTTTAGTCAACATGGCCAATATGACCTTATTCACTGGTTGGCCATATTGAATTGAAAGTGAGGTTAACTTTTCATTTTGGGAACTTTAGTTAATCATGCCCACATGTTTTAAGGGACATTTAAAAAAAACAATTTGGGCTCAGAACCCCAGTCTGACTCCACCCTATTTAACAGATTTCACTGAATAAGAAATATGATTGAACATGGCTTCCCTGTGAATAAGGTCTATTGCTTCTTATCAGTGTGCACTTGCACTGCACTCCAATGTGCGTAGCCCTAGTCAAAATATGGTCATTGCTCGGACTTGCCCACAGCTTCAATTTTGGCAGATTTGTTCACATTTATTACTGTGAACACTCCAGGGGAGTCACAGTTCTTTTTTTTAATTCTGCCTTCTCACTACACTTTTTAAAAAAAATTTTTCATCAACTTCTGTGAGCTTTTTATTGATACATTTTAATTCTAATGTTAACTTCTTATTTCCAGTTAAAAAAAACGGAGAAGCCAACTGGAAGTTGGTAGGTGCTCTTGATAGCTGACAATGTTCTTCCCTATCTTTTCTCTGAAAACAGCTTGAGGTGACTGAAACATCAATATCCACTTACATCGATCACTGCATGAGTCCTGTGGGAGATTGCCCTGCTCTCTTCCCTCCTTCCGACGTGCACGTCTTGGATATTCTCAAGTCCAAATGCAGGTGAGCAGAGTGAATGAACTCGTGCAGACTGCTCCAAATACGCAGAAAACATGGTCTTTCTCTGAAATTTCCCAACAGAATATCCAAACACAAAGACCTACCAACCGCGGAGAAGCAGACAGGTCACGGTTTTCCCTACGTTATTGCAGAATGGCGTTACTGCTAGAACAAGTTTGCACAAACACACCGCCAAATGTATGAACAGTGAGGTTAGACAAACACTGCACTGCCTCTTTCCTACACTGTAGTTGATATTGACATCATTACGACATACTGCTCTCACTTTATCAGCACAGAGTCTCCAGTCAATGGGTGTGCTTTGCACACGGGATTTGCAAAGTTTTTGCATTAGTTTTGAGTTGATCAACAATCTTGACTGTTAAGCACTCCCCGTCTGTCTCTCTCCCTCTGCTGTCTAAGAGGTGTTGCTTGAGCACCTTAATAAGATGGTTTCCCTACCTATCTAATTCCTCAAACCTATCCATTCCAGTTGTTTGTATCAGATTAGTGAAGTGAAATATTTCCCGTCTCACATTGGACAGATTAAACAACATCTTCAGCCTGCTCCAGATGAAAGTGTGGAAGGACCGAAACTCCATCCCGCACCAGCGAGTCCGCAAACTCATGGAAGAAGTGATAGAGTTGGACACCCGTAGGTGGCTCAGTAACAAGTTGGAAGAACTACCTCAGCCTGAGGGATCGCTGGTGAGTGTTTTATTAAACCCCAACCAATCTTTATCTGACAATATGTATCATCCTTCCTTAGAAGTACTCATCCCCGCAGTTTATGAAGTACATCAGTGGGAACACTAATATGAAATCAAAATTCTTTAGGACTGTCCCCTTTGGAGTTACGGATGGTAGTTATTCACACCTGGTATTTTCAAATTTCTTTTTTTTTTTTTTTGGTGTTGTTTTTCAAGAAACCAGCAGATTTACTGAAGCTGTTAGACAGACTTGGAGACGTCATAGGAGATATAATGGCTCTGCTGAGACCGACCAAGGAATACCAGAACTTCTTCACCAAGTAAGGCTACAAACACCTTTTCTTTTTTTTTCACGTGTGAAGACCTTACATTTAAAGTCACCTGATTACTAATCATTTGCATATGTAGTATTTATTCTACATACTGGATGGGAAATTTTGCTCACCTCCCAAATTAGAAACCTGGTCACTTCGGTTCTGTCAACATCAGTATCGTTTGTTTATTAAGACTATTTGATCATGATGTCTGCAATCCATACTTTTTTGAACTGCCAAAACCAGAAACAAATTATTTAAGCTATGCCCTCACAACTTTGTACGGTAGTTCATAATGATGCTCGCAATTCTAACATGTGGTGTCATCTTGGCAGGTTCACGGTTGACTACAATAAAGCCGTGGCCCGGGAGATGGACCGCATAGTGTCAGCCAGTCTCAAAGAAGTCCTCAGCAGTCTCAACCAGTATCAAGTCCGCTACCAGAAGTTCCCGGAAAACATCGCCGAATCCAGCAAGGCTAGCCTGAAGCTGTACATGACTGTGAAGAAGATGTTCTCGGTGCTGAAGAGCAACAACCACACGTGGTAGGTTGTCTCCCATACAGCTGGTTGTAGTCATTTGAAATGACTCTTTTCCAAGAACCTCGTCTATTATCCTTCTTTGTTGTCTCCCCAAATTGACTCAGCAATTCTGTCAAGTTCCATGTCCTAAGGCTTCCCTTTGTGTACCCGTATCCTGCGTATGCTAGTCGTTTTCTCATACCTTGAGGAAACTTTTTCGCTCTTTTTTTTTCAAATTGACGTGAAGAAAAACCAATCTGGTAAAACCTAATCAGTCTCATTTCAGCATCTTGTTTGAATGACAAAGCACAACAGAAACCAGCAGCAAAATTTGTGAATCTGCACCATTTTTCTTTGGACATGTGTAGAGGTAATAATACATAAGTGGTACCTAAAAACCAATCAATGTTGTTATTTCAGCCGTTCTTCACCTTTTAAGAGGGTAATCAAATGCCTTATTAATTCATTGCTAATGATGTCACCCATCTGATGCAAGGCGGCTTACTTGGCCTCGTGCAGAATTTCACATTGATAACATCATTACCAAGATGTCATTTGCTTTTATCCGAATATTCTGTATTTTTGGTGTAATTTCACCTTGTTGCCGATCAGGCAAAGAGGGCAAGGCATGTTAGTCATGTTCACAAGTGGTGAAGTGAAGTTCAAAGTTTGCTTGAGTTGTAGAAAAGATTAAGAAGTGGTCATAATTCAGCCGTAGTTGTTTCCTCTCTCTCTTCCTTCAGTGAGGGTCTTGAGATGGCCAACTACCACACCTGGTTCCAGGAGGGGCTCATCTTCTGGTTGGTCACCTTCAAATACGAGACCTTTGACCGTGTCCGCAGAGCTCTGGAAATGGACAAGGACGTGCAGCTGGTCCACAGTGTAGTCAAATACTCCAACTCAGCCGTTGATGTCCAGTCTTGTTTCGCAAAGGTCAGTCTTGCCCGTATTTTGGATTACTTTGTCCATTTTGCAGTGAACAGATGTATGATTGTGGCAGTAGTCTGCATGGACATCACTATTTGTACATGTGTGATATTGAATACTCAAAGGAGTTTTTGTCTGCAAATTTGAGAACATAAAGGGCAGTTGGTGCCTCACACATCTTTTTTGGTTGGTATAGACTGTATGTTGTTACCAGTTATGATGTACTTGTGCTTTGGATCCATAGGATCCAACTTTGTTTACACAACCCTTGGTTGCTAATAACTCTCAGCATTTTAATCTGAAGTCCTGACAGAAGAGGTTCTTTGCCTGTTATCTCACTGATTTCTGCCCTGCTCTTTTATTTATTCATATCTAGATATTACCTTTGCACACTAGAACATACATTTGGATGAATTGTTTAATTCATGTTGACTGCCATCTTTCCTGCGCTTTTTTCATAAATCCAAACATTTCTATATCTTTTGAAAAAGGTAACGGAAGAATGGCACAAGATAGGCTTTGAAGGAGTGGACAGCAGGTGTATGGCTGTCACCAAAATCACAGATGTAAGTAATGAACAGTTTGGCAAATTCCAACCTTGGTGTACATTGTGTTGTAGGGAATATAGGGAAAGTTGGACTTTTCTAAGGACTTTTTTACAACATTTTGATCCCCATGATAACCTGCATATATTTGTTAGTGGTCCAGACAGCATCGTCGCAAGTGTTTTGAGGTGATAGACTGATTCAGTGACAAGAATCAGGCGCCATAACTGCATTGTCCCCACGGGCATATACAGATGAGATGTGTATTGAAATGCTCCATCAGCCAATGGGAGCACACCGTTGATCAAATTCACGCACGCATCAAGTTGACGAATGCACGCCTGAATGATGGGGACACCGCAAGTAAATGGCGTCAATGAATCGGTTTATAGCACACAGTCTTCATTAAGCTGTAGTCTAGCTCTATGCCCGGTCTGGCATTACAGTGGTCTTATTCATTTGGAATTTAGTTTGTCTAATTTTCTTCCATTCTCTCAGGATACGGTAAAGTTTTAAAATGTACTTGTTGACTGTTAAGGAGTGTGAAGTATATTTGCCCATTGTTCCACAGCTGATTTGTGAGGGTGCCAAGTTGTACGCTGCATCTATTCACAAAAAGCTGGAGCAGAATGGTTTCTATCGCAGCATTAGCGGACAGTTTGACATCAAGGACAAGGTAATTGATTATCCTGTTTGGTATCATCTGGGAAATGTTCCAGAGGATTGCAGTGTTTTTCTGAATACATAAAAGCATTGGAGATGGATGATAAATTGTATACTCAGAAACCAAATGGGGTGCGATAAACTGTATACTCAGAAACCAAATGGGGTGTGATAAATTGTATACTCAGAAACCAAATGGGGTGCGATAAACTGTATACTCAGAAACCAAATGGGGTGCTATAAATTGTATACTCAGAAACCAAATGGGGTGCGATAAATTGTACACTCAGAAACCAAATGGGGTGCGATAAATTGTATACTCAGAAACCAAATGGTGCTTTCAGGTTAATGCTTTTTCAGACAGTTACTTGTATTTCAAAGAATTAATCTCATTGGTTTACTACACAGTAAGTGTGATAATTTGGGAGAGGGTAATAAATGTCAAGGGGGCATCAAGTCCAAGGAAAGAGTTACTTCACAGACTGTCACTTTCTCGGTCCTTCAAAACCTTGCAAATCTCCAGGTGGATTCTGATGGATTAGGGGATCGTTAAGGTTCATGTGTGACCCAGAAGAGTTGTTTACTTTGTTTAAACGTGACCTCCCCTATCCTCCACCTTCAGCTGTGCATCACGCTGAACAACATCGAGCACGTCCGGGCCTACCTGGACAACCTGCCTGTCCTGCTGGACTGGGAGCAGACGGTCAACGGCCTGGCCACCCACCACCAGAACCTGACGGCCGGTAAGCTGACCCTCAGCACCCTGCAGCGCATGACCACCAAGGCCAGCCGGGACACTGTGGGCATGTCGGGCCTGCTGGAAAGGAAGATCGCCGACAAGATGTGCCAGGAGGTCTTGAAGGTCCTGGGCAAGGTGGTCAACCCTAAAGGGGAAGCTGCCACGAAAGAAGAGGTGAGCCAAAACGAGTTCTGGAAAGATCTTGTGGACCCTTGAACAGAGCAGAAAGTTTGGCGATTACAGCTCCAATTGCTCTAACACGAATTGAAAGTTGACACGCTGAAGAGAACACTTAGGGAAGGGTTGAGATTGCATCACGTGATAAAAATAAGCTCTTTTGGAATTTGCGAGTGAGCGAGATTCTGAGAACAGCCAGTGGGCTTTGCCCAACTTTTTGGATGGACAGAGCACACCATCTGGAACACTGAGTATAGCTCACTGCCACTTCTCAAACTTTACTCACTGAGAATTCCCAAACATTTGATGCTAAACATTTGGTTTCTGCATTGTAATCATTTTTGTGTTGGACATCAACACATGTTAAACCTAATCCTATCATCCAGTTGATTCATGGTTTTGAGCATTCCATATCTGTTCCCTTGTGTTTGCAGCACCTGGATGAATTCTTCACCTACATTGACCAGAATCTGGAGACACTGTACAAGCAACTGATGCCTCAGATTTTCCCTCGAATTGTCGAGGAGGTCTGGAACGCTCTCCTAAGAGGAATTGTGTCCCTCATGCACATTGGCAGGCAACCCCAGTACTACCAAGAACTTAGGGAGGTGGGTAGCTATAACAAAGGTTGACGTCTGTGATCCACAGTCAACAAGTTATTTATAATAATAATTATAATATTTTCTACTCCGGAACATTTTCCCCTGAATCGACCAGTTTTTGTGTCATAGTTGAAGTCAGGTTTTCCCCTCCTTTGAACATCTTGTCGGCCCTTTTCCTAGACTAACTATAGCATAGACTCACTGATTTACTCCAGTTGTAGAGACTAATCGACTAGTGCATCATCTGTGCAAGAGTTGCCGTTGTTATTGAAATGTTGGAAAAATTTCCCTTTGCAAGTCATTTTCAAACATTGGCAACAATTAGACTCTACTGAAGTACACGAAAGATGATAATTCAAATTGAATTTAAGATAAACATCTTTGGCAGAGCCTGGATGCCCTGGAGAGCTACTTTCAACGTCCCGGACTGGCCCTGGACCCGGCCAAGATCCAGGGCCCCCAGTACAAATTCCTGCTGGGCCAGCTGGACCTGAACGCTCTGAGCACCCATGACCTGATGCTGTGCTACTACAAGGACCTGGCCACCGACATGGCCACGCCTGGTGAATACTTTGGTCACCTGGGGGTCAGGATAGCGTGCAAGGAGGAGGCAGGAGGCAAGAAGACGATCATCGTCAAAGGTGAGGATTCATGAGTGTTAAAGGGAAGATCCAAAATTAGATTAGTGTCTCTCTGAAGCAAACCAGGAATGCTGTTTCCTCATGATCTGGTGCACTGAATTTAATATCTCTTGATAATCTTACAATCTTAGGTTTGAGTTCACCTATTAGGTTCACTTTGCTTGGGTAGGCACCCTGTTACTTTCACCTTGACACTTTCAAAGTGCAAAATGATCAGTTAAGGAATATTCTCCCTATCAAATTGAGTTTTGTCAATTGAAATTGCTAAGATGTAAAATCAACACGCTTTTATAAGGATTTCTTTTGAAAGAGGCCATGTCAAAGCTGAGAGTTTTCTTAGTTGATTTTGTGACAGCATGTGGCATGGCCTTCTCCACTCCGCGCCCCCCTCGGTCATTCAGAATTTAGTGAACAAGGACGTTTTTGATACCATGACCAAACCCTCTGATTGCCCCTTTCAGGAATTACAGTAAGTTTCATTTGAATAGCTTATCACAGAATTGGGGGCCGGGTGATTTGTGATTTTCAAGGTGACAGTCTGCAGATGCCAGGGCACTCGCTCTGTTCCGAAAGGGCACCAGCCTACATGCTGCACCAAACCAGTGTTCGACATGTGCCTGTCTTAAAACGACATTTGTTGTACAAATCATGAGATGTGCGGCAGTGAATCCTGAAGTCTCCCTTTTGTTCCCAGTGTGCAATGCCGTGGACCTGCCTGGCATGGACCGGAGAGGTACCAGTGATCCCTTTGTGGTGGTGGAGGTGCTACCAGAGACAGCCTTTGACAAGCCACTGGTTCAGCAGACACGACACGTGCTGCACAACCTCAACCCAGTGTTTGATGAAACATTCCAGATGTGAGTCAGAATTGATTCGAAGCATTTTTCAGACCCAAGTATCAGGATCTTCCTTTCGCCTAGTTTTAAGGGGACGCTAGTGGTTGCATGGTTCAGTACAAGGACGGCAATTTGCATGAAGTGTGTCAATATCACATGAAATGGAGTTCTGTGACATGTTATCCACAATGCTAATGGCATGCCGCTGTCCGTGTAGGATTCAGTTTTTTAAGAGTTAACACCTGTTAACAGCATACTCTGTCCTATTGGAGGAGAATTCTAATAGTCAAGAACTGGAAAAGTCAAGAAAGGGTTGGGAATATGTGATGGAATTTTCCACGGGATGTCCATCTTTGATTTTTTTTTTCAAGTTTTTACATCATGATGTTAGCATGAGCAGTTTCCAACTTACACCTCTGAAAAACCACAATTTGTCAAGAGCCCTGAAAAATCATTGTGGATTTTGGGAGAAATGTATAGATTAAGACAAACTTACTTCTGGATTATTTTCTTGTCAGTCCGTCTGTACCCATGGACCTGATTGAGGCCGGCGGAGTCATGAGCCTGACAGTCATGGACTACGACGTTCTCTGGAGCAACGATTTCATCGGTGAGGCCTTCATCCCACTGCAGCAGGCACGGCCGATCACCACAAATCAGTCAGTGGATCAGTGCCCTGTCATCATGATGCCTGTGAAACGGCCCCATGCTTGCTCATCGGGTGCATTTGACGTAAGTAAAACAAACCATCTTTGTGAAAGCAGTCGAAATGGAAGAACGGGGAAATCCACCACAAGATTCCAGGTTCATTGCTTTACAGTGGTGTAACTGAGGTACATTTTACAGGGGGGTGCTTGGGGGGCTGATTTTCTGGAGGGGGCGCTCAATAGGTTTTGATACAGTTAAAATGCTGACTATCACTTCATTTTAATTGGGGGGGGGGGGCTCACACGGGGCACAGACATTGAGTCATGAGGGACCCATGCCCCCATTCCCTGCTCCCTTAGTTACGCTACTGTTGCTTTGGTTTGTGACAGTGATGGTTTCGTGTCGTTCAGCCTGACATTCAGCCTCCAGTCAAGTCTCATTTTAGCCAAGTGACAAATGTTTTCCTTTGTCAGTGTTCATCCCCTTTAAATCATGAGCAGACTTGTTATTTGCCTCCTGGGTGGACTTTATCAAAATTCTGACTCGCAAGTACTGTATATATACTAGTGTTGGATATGTTATTTGGTAGATGCTGTGCTGTGCAGCGTCATTCAATGATTCAAGCAAGTTTACCAATGCAGTAGGGCCTTCCTTTTTTCATCACATATTTGTGGTATTTTTACATTAGTGTTGATTCATTTGTCTCAGATCCTGAAGAACCGCTGCAAATGGGACAAAAACGCTCGCATGTTTTACGCCCGAAGACAGAAGGCCATCGAGAATCAGAAACCGAGGACAGACAAGGGGACCGGGCCACCGATGACCAATTCCCGATTGGCACCCTTCCTGAGGCAGTAAGCGTTGCTTGCCATACTACATCCCTCGCCAGCTAGCTCTCAACCTGTAGCTGTTTTGCCGCACGTCTGTCTGTGCACCATGTCACGCCACTTCATTTAAGTCAAGCACTGCAAGATGGTAGACTGAAATCGTTTATACTTTCAAGATTTGCCTTGAACAATTTGCCTACCAGTAGCCAACTGTTTTCATGGTTGAAAGCAGTGACTATCTTTGCTGTGTTCATGATGTCGTTCACGCCCAGAAAATGCACCTGTACCTTAATTATGAGAGCAGTCACTGCTTTAGCAATTTTCAGAAGTCTGTCCACAGGACAGGTCAGGGCCCTGTACTACTGGGTTGAATAGCTAAACACAAATGGCTAAACAAAGCTACAATCCAAAATCCAGAGTGAGCTTACAAATGCTACAGCTACGCCTGTCAGCATGAGCCTAAAATATTTGAAACTAGAACAGACATAGACCTTGCTCCAGATGCGAGGCTGGCATGCAGCCTTAGACTGCAAGTTATGGCAGTTAAACCTTTAACGAGTGGGCATGGGACTTCAACGCTGTTGCATGTGTTCAGTTTCCATTTCTATAGTGTAGATGTGTGCACAAAGTGAAGAAAAATATATTTAGGAGTGGGTTACCAGCCAAGTGTCACTCTAGATGTATGTTGCATGTGATGGGCTCTCAGCTGATTTACATGTATGTATTGCTTGTGCAGTATTGTCTGTAGGGCTGTAAAATCAGACCTTACCGAGGTATGACTGTATCTTTGTGAAGTGTTTGGCTCTGAAAGCGTCTGCGATAATGACAATTAGGTCTATAAACACCTGTCACTACCCACGTAGTGTAGATTTCCCTCACAAGCACCCTCCCCCTTAGAAGTGACAAGAAATAGTGTAACAGTAGGCATTTCAATGCTATTTTCACCATGTGACTGGCATCCATTCAAAGATGCAACATTTTTGTGAAACTTATTTGTGCATACTCCATGCCACGTACTTGCACAATTACTTGCTCCATATAGTTGGATACTACACGTGTGTCAAAATACGAATGTGGGGACCAAAAATGTTAGGGGGACAAACAGTTGTCGTCACAACTTCGCTGTTAACTTGCCTTTACAGATGATAGTGTCCACTCGATGTCAGTTCAGGCCTACCCATGCTTTTGTGTGTGATCACACTTTTGCATCTTCTGTTCCTCCATACAGGCCAATGGCTATTTTAGACTTCATCACAGCAACCATATCTCTAGGCTTAAATTTCATCTTTTCCTAATTTTACTTTATCTTTTGGTCTAATCTGACAAAACACAGCAATGCACTTGTTATATATGAAATACACTCTGGGCCAAAAAACCTGTTTTCTTCTTGCCTACTCACGCTCTGAGATGTGCTCCTCATGCTATTTCATACTGCAGACATTCTGCAGCCAACAATCATACAAAGTTTCTCAGTGACTGCTACCAATGTGGTCAAGCTATGATCTTGCCACATGTTCATTGTTGCACTGTTTGTACAGCCAGAGATGACATGTGAAAAAAGGCTTGTCACCTGCTAGATGTGCTTGTTACAGACCATTAGCAACAAAGAAATGTTGAAACCCTAACAGAATTAGAATAACTTTCATGATAAGAGACATTCATTTCATTAGAACACTGCATGCTACAGTCCTCACACAGACATTGGCCATGAGCTTAAACAGACTTTAAGCACTGCCTCTTTACTTGGCCAGTAATGTGCATCAGTGTTTGGTTAATTGGATGTTGAAGAGCACCATGTTACCGTGGCAACACATTACTGCTGCTGCTTGCACACAAGTCTTTGTAGATTAGATTGGATTGCCGTGGGACAAATAAACAGTTTAAACAAAATGAATGTGTTGTTTTACCTCTCTCTCTCTTTTCCAGAACTTTAGTGAGACTTCATAATTACGTGTACAGTGTCCCTGCTCTAACTTCAGACAAGGGTCCAGTTTCGTAGACGAGTCCATTAAAGACTGGAACATGTTGCAGTTTAGTCATTGTGATGGTGTTGGTATACTGACTGTCCATGCATTTCATTTGGTGCTTAGCGAGTCTTCTTCTGCCTAACACAATGCACAGGTGGCTTAGCGAAAATTTCAGCTGGGTAATAATGCAGTGTTATGTTGCAGTGCACATAGCCTTACCTTTTTTGAGTTACACCTTCTGGTGGCCCATTCTACATGTATCATTTCAGTGGTGCATTTTTAGAATAATGGTCAATGTGATTGTATCCAACAATTCACTTGAATAGGAATGGATTATAGTAGACTGTGTGCAGAAGCGCCCCGTCAGTAGTAAAAAAAAAGAGTTTAAGGAGTGCCCTGCACTCGTGTCTTAGCCCACCTTCAGCATCTGAGATCTTTTTGAAGACTGAAGGGTTGTAGAAGCCTTAAAAGGAATCATCTTATCTTGCAGAAAACCTGTAACCTCTGCCATGCTAAGCTTAGAATCTTATTCATCTTATCTTGTTTGTAGCAAACAAATCGTTTCCTTGTATAATTTGTGTGAGTTCCAGGTGTTTTGACACCAATATATAACAAAGTTTGAGTGCTGAAGCAGAATTCTCATACACCGTAGAATAGGTTGCTGGGTAAACCTTCATTTAAAATTAAAACAACTTTGGTGTTTTTATATGTTACTTTTTACCAAATCATTGAAATGGAGTACCAAAGTATGATGTCACTGTGAACCAAAAGTGCAGTGCAAACGAATGGTGTGCTCGCGCATGTTGGTTCATGCGCTGATTTTCACCGTGATGCGTTTTACACACATCATTGTACTTGTGACATATTCACTTTGCCACTCTCGACACGTTATCTTCTGTGTATAATTTTCTATTTGTTGTATTATAAAGAATTGTAAAAGTTTACATAGAAATAGCAATATTTTGCCAAAATTCTTGTAGAACCCAGTACAAAATAGTCTCTGAATTTACTTAATCTCACTTTGCATTATTCAATTAAAGTGCAATTCGTAGATTTTAGTCTTTTAATGCTTGCAAAGCACGGAATTTAAATTGATAGTTTACTTTCAGCCACGTTGAAAGAGAAAAGGAGGGAGCACATATGGTTGATAAATACAGGTTGAAAGTTTACATACACTTTAACGGAAAGTGTTGCAGTACAATTTTTAAAATGTTCCCATTCTTGAAAACCATTCGTCTTCTCTGTTACTGATCATGCAGCCAGCACATGCACTTTTTTTAAACGAACCTGAAAATGAAGTATTGAGAATACACCACATGATTGCCAGAAATAGATGAAATCTTAAATCTTGGAAGTGCATATAGTCCAATTTCATGTAAACATCCGGCTGCAATTCATCTGTACAAATTGCCAGTTTTTGAAGCTCCGACAATCCGTGAACTTATTTTTCATCTTGTGTTTTGGCATTTCAACGGGGGCAGGATTACATACTTGTTCTCTGATGATTATATTGTCGAATGGTGGAGTGGAGGGGGAAGGTATCGGTGTGTGTCTCCACCAAAGAGCTGTGTCATATATAACTCTATGGTCCCCACCCACCTTTGGGCCAGACCATAGGTCACACTTGTATACGATGTATATACATGTATGTTAACTACCAAAGCACTGTCACTGTCAGGAGTGCTGTTTGGGACCTGCTTTTGTCTTTGTCTTGCGTATTACTTTCTTTACTGTTGACATTTCTGATCTCGCCATCATCTTCCCCCATTTGCGGACCTCAAATCCGTGCCTTTATTGACAGGGACATACTGGTGTTGTCACTGGATCAACATCAGACCTCCAGACCGAGTTCACAAAGCCATCAGACACAAGCCATTTTTCATTTGTCTCCGTGAAAAGCATTCCTTTGTCATTGTTCAACCTGTAACTTGTGACTGCTCTTGTGTCTGGTCTTGTAATGGTCTTAATATAACTTCGACCCCGAAAGGGGTGGCAGCCTAGCCGTAGTGCAGATTGTATGGGGGTGGGTATAAATTAAGATATCCGCAAAGTTTATAATACCGTGGTATAAATTAGTATTTATGCGTATTGGTGGAGTATTTTTAGACCGTTAAGCAGTGTTTAAATTTGAGTTGTCTTTTCCACACTTGTATACACGTGATAAGATATACATGAATGGCATCATTAAAGGTACTTCTCAAATTTATCTGCTTTCTAATGGTAAGTGGGATATACGTGTATCTGTTGTGACTGGCCTATGTTTTTAAAAAGTTCTGAAATGAAAGTGTCATATATTTACTGTTCCGTCTGTGAGATGCTTTAGACTTGTTCTAATTACATCGCTGACTGATTACTTCGGTCGAATATTTTACTTTTTGGAAAACGTGTTCTCCACTGCTGTTCGTTTTATGGTGGGGGCCTTTTAGCTGGTGTAATCAAGCTTATCGTAGATCATTTTTGCCCTTTTGTAAATTTGTGTACACGTGAACAAGTCGCCCTGATATTCTGCGAGCATGGTGTCATTTTTCCATGACAGAATGTAATAAAGACCCGCTCCACTGAAATGCACAGAATGAAAGAATTTCATTTGTACAAAGCTCAGTCGCCCTGAAGCCGTAGATGCCTAACCCTGCTGAGTTTACTTTAACACAGCAAACCGTTGTGGACCGAAACACAACAAAATAAGTCCAAATGGTACAATGCAGGCTGTGTGAACCTGGCCCAAGTGAGCTCCACACAGTGTTGCCTCTCTAAAAACAGTCCGAGAGGCAGTTGGGGGGTATGGTTATCTTATGAAGGGAAACGGTCAAGGGCATGGGCATAAAATGAGTATATATCCAATGCCCCACTCTTTTTTTGGGGAGGGGGGATTGGCAGCGGCCTATCAAGCTTTTGGTGTGGAGGTATATCCAAGAGCAAATGTGTCTTCGAGGTCATTCAACATGATGCTGTGGAGAAAAAAATCTAAAGTCTTACGGTCCCCATATCCTTGCTTTTATTTGCTGGTGTTGTTTTCTTAGGGGATTGGTGTTAATATTTAATAAATATACCGAATACTTTCTTTCCCAAATCACCCATCTTTAAAAAAAAAATTTAAAAATAGAAAAAAAAAATACGCAAACATTTCCGTCCCTCGCTCAATACGTCACTGGGGTTGGGCTACCGAATCCCCCACCAAACTTTTTGTGGTGAGCAACAAAATAATTGAAGTGGATTGTGAAAAGTTCTTTAGACTTCCAACAACTAAAATGCATTTTTGCATAAAATTACAAAGATCTCAAGAAATTTGAAAGTGATCTACTTCGAAAGTCCACCGCAAAATGGGATGTGATAACGCTTGGTCAGTCTCATTCGCATAAACCGAGTCTTTGGCGTTCTGTTTGCTACTAGGCCTATCTAAAGAAACAAACTTAAATGGCTTTGTTAGGACGTGTATTTCTGATAATTAAATGCTGTGTTCAGGTCGGAATCTCCATGGGGCCTTAGCAATTTTTTTAAACATCGTAACAAGGCAGGTGGTCATATCCACGTCTAGGTTTTACCATTCCTCCATGGTTTTACGCTGTCAAATTGTCGAACTGTGAGGGCAATGAAGTGCGTCAAATGCTCAGATTCTCAGGCGAGCAGACATGAGCACGATCGTGTAGGACCTTTGCGGTTCGCGAGTTTGCGAGCGAGTTTGCAGTACAACAGGACTGTTGTATTGTTTAATATTTGCCTATCCGGTGATGGGGGGGGGGGAGACGGCGTGCCCCGGAGCTTTAATCTGAGCACGGTTTCGGTGAAATGTGCTTTTGTTTTCCTTTTTAGGGTCGTTTTTGGTTTGGGAGGTTTATCTTCTCCATGTGGTTGATGCCCATGAATATCAAAGTTAATAATCAATCTTCACCTAGTGCCAACCACCATGTTATAATTCTGTTATCTCTTAAACAGGGCAGAGACGTTATTAGGGCAGTTAATCCAGTCCAAAGTCTTTCTGTTTAAGTCAACAGTAGATTTAAATAGTTCCGACGGGACGTTCCCCAAAAAAACCGACCTGGAATGGTACTGACTATTTACTACGAAAGCTACGGACAGGGTGGTAAATCGAAGTTGTCATAAGCAAAATTCCTATGCCAACACGGTAAACAAGTTGAAGCTACCCCTTTGGAAATCGGAACAAAAGATATTAAAGGTGTTATCCTGTACACAGGAGGCAAGGTTCGGCGTTCAGAACAACATGATTCGAATACATGCCATCCCATAGAATCAGTGGGAGGTTGGTGTGCATTACCTCTGGCAAGGATATGCCGACTATTGCAACTTCTTTTCCACATTGTGAAGCACTTTTTGAAAATACTCCCAGTTTATACTAATGTAAGAGACCCTCTGTTGGAAAAGACGCGCAACGGGAAAAAAATCTAAGGTCTTGTGCCAATTCAACGGTATACATGAAAAACCAAAACTGCGTAACCCGCTTTAAGTTTTGATATTTGGAGCTTCATCACTATAATGAGCGCCGTATCAGTACCGGACCTGCACGAGTGGCTTACGTCCGTGACGCGGACCGACAGTTATCGGATTCCACGGCGACTCACGAGGGTCGCGACCTTTGGAGCATATTAATTTCATGTGCAATTCAATTCAAGCTACCTGTTGAAAGCTTGTCACTCGCTTTGCAGTCTCAGCCGTACAACAATGACTCATACCATCATCCATGCTCATAAACCAACAAAAATAAGAACAAACATTCGCACAGTTCAGAAATGAGGGATCGGGACAAAACTAGTCTTTAAATACTAACACATCGTGCTTTTCGTCAGACAAGTTGACCGTCCAAACATGGGCCCTTATCGTGAACATTTTGGCGACGACGACAATAAAGATGTTGTCGATCCACCGACCGACTGCGCACGCATAAACGGTACGGACATCGTGATCATTGTCCTCGCAGTCTTCGGTTCTGTCTTCTTGTTGGCCGTCATCACCTGTATTCTGAGGTGCATATGCAGAAAGTGGTTCGGGAGGAGCTGCAGGATTGTCTGGGAGACAGACAACCTGTCTAACAGTTACAGGGTGGACAATGACTTTGAAGATGTTGTGATATGTGATTCCCAGCCGCGCGGAAGGGAAATGTTCGGCTTCAACAGGGGGTTCACACCGGCAACAGACAACCCCATCTATACTATTCCACGGCCAAAAATATCTGGAGACCAAGGTATGTTTCTTGAGAACTGGGAATTTGGAAAAAGGCTACAGCCCAGGATAGAAGATACATGCTCGGGTCAGTACAGGTACACCTATGATGGACAACTTAGATCACCTCCAGTTGCAAACTCATCGTCCGTGACGCTCAGGACGAGCGAAGGTGAAGCATCATTCCTGAAGGACCACCAGCTTCAGGAGTTACAGAGAGCCGGGATGACGAGGAGTGAGACCATCATGGTCGGCAGCAAACTGGTGGTCTTCATCTCTCGTGAAGTGAGTCACCTCGGGGATACCCTGGTTCTGACAGACATGGGCATCTCTCTGACAGTCCCACCCTATGCCATTGAGGCCGGGCGCACCGAGCTCATTTCCCTCATCCTTGACTGGGATCTAGGAGATTTTCCTGAGATGACGGACGAGGAGACAATCATCAGCCCTGTTGTGCACTGCGGCCCCCACGGACTGAAACTGAACAAACCCGCTGTTCTGAGTTACAAGCATTGCGCTTACGATCGCGGAGACGTGTCCTTGGTGGCTAGCCAGACACACCTGATGCAGAGCAAGGACTGGTATCAGGTGTGTGAGAGAGATGACTACAACAAACCGTACACCCTGTTAACAAATGAGGTTCAAATCCAAATTTCTCACTTTACACTGTACACCTGCTTGGCCGATGGAAAAACAGCTACCAAGAAGTGGATGCAACTAGCAGTGTTTGGGGGTAAAATGCGGCCCAAACGTCATTACGAGATCCGCATCTACTTTTTGAATAACACACCGTGTGCCCTTCAGTTTGCCATCCAGAACGAAGCCAAAAATCACTTCAGGCTGCTGTGTCCTCGTAAGGAGTTCCTGTTTCACGGTGACGGGAAGGATACCGTAGCCACTGTTGAACACATCAGCGAGGGATGGTCCCATCGACTGGACGACCGACGAGAACTAGTGCCGTTCTTGAGCTTGTGGCACGGAAAATGTCCTAGTGTCTCGTTCATCTTCAAGCATGAGAACGAACACGTGCGAGATATCGACATCAGACTTTCAGTCTGTCAGCGAGACAGGGAAGATAAAGAATCAGAGAAGACAAACTTAAAAGTTCTCGCTTCCATGAGGTCGCCACCCTCGAAACACGACTCTGACAGGAGCATTGGAAAAACTGGCACGGTTATCAAAGTGTTCCCGCCAAGCAGACGTAGCAAAAGAAGACGGTTCGATAGTGAGAGCGGTAGGAGCCATTCAGACAGCTTCCGTTCAGCGTCAACCGAGGCTACGTCGTCCTCTGAATCCTCCTGCACGTCCTCGTGCTCAACGCTTCCCACTTCTGACACCAGTTCGAACATAGATTCAAAATCTGAATCCGAGGACCAGGTCACAGGGTCGCAGAACTGTGTCCAGAATATGCAAATACATATTCACCAATCACCCGACAACCTTCCCCGTGTTACCACCCAGCGGACTATTCCACACGAACTGTGCATGGAGTTGGTCGTGCTTCTAGACCCCCTTGCCCCCTTGGGCAACGACTGGAGGGTGCTTGCGTCCGCACTGGAAATGGACTGTCTCATCCCTCTCCTCAAGAGTACACCGTCGTATAACCCCACCGAAACCCTTCTTGAAGAGGTTGAGCGCCAGACTAAAGGCCTTGAGTGGATGGCCTCCGTTATGATGAAGGCGAAGAGGCTTGATGCAGCAAACGTCATCATGAAGTATGCAGATACTCCGGGCAATTCTTGCGCTCGAAACGAATCCTAAAGGGTTGTTTTAAATCAAGGTAATTCATTCACACCCCATGTTTGCACTGGTAAATGTTGAGGACTGAGGGCACTGAATTTAATACATATAGTATAGAACGAAATATGTCTTCAAATCTGGGTACACTGGACTGCAGATGATTCATACATCCAGATTCGCGAGTTGCTCGTCAAATGGTGCGACCGAAGTTTAAAACCCACACACGTTGTTTTTCCTGTTGGAGGAATATGTATGTAAAGATTCAGCATTTTCAGCTGACAATGCATATGGCATGCTATGTACAATACTGATTCAAACTAAATCAGGATTTTTACCTCGACTTAGGAAGTGAATAAATTTGTTGTTGTTAAGATTTACCCAGAATTACTTTCATTTGGGCAGTTCAATTTCGGAAATAAGTTCTTTTAAGTGTGTGTAAAGACTAGTTTCATTTCAGTTACTTAATCGGTTGTGTTGTATAGGGGGAATGTAAGAATCACATACATTCAGAGCGAGTTGTTTAAATAATATTGTGAAATGTTCAACTTCTTCTTGTAACATTTAGAATATGTCAGGTAGTGGCTTCACTTGGGTATATTTCGCAGGCCACTTTTAGGGCCCTAATTTTCTGTAAGGGCACTCAATCGGTTCCGTCACAGTAAAAAAAAAAATGGCCAAGAGAAGATCGACAACCACCAGATTAATTTTCTTCTCTAATTTCTGAGCGGAGGCAAACACGGGGGGGGGGCTTGAGCCTCCCCCGTTATGCCACTGTGTATTTCACATATTCATTCGGGAAGGGATTGTTGCAAAAGTAATTGTACGCAGAGAATGTTGTTAATTTCTGATTGCAATAATGGCATCACCAGAATACGGTACATCGTTGCAACCTTGTTCCAGGAAATATCCTCAAGCGAAGACACTGATGTGTTTTTTATATTGTAGCGTGGCTATCTTTCACTAAATTATTTGAAGTTATATATTTTCCCATTTGCATAGGTCAGACTTCCTAATAATGCTTGTCTACATTAGGGGTGCTAATAAACAACTCGTGCGAAGAGTTATGAACGAAACGAATTATCGTTTTGACCTTAGTGTTATAAAGCGTGTAGTTTAAACAGAAGTAGAAGTGTACGCATGCTTTAGACAAGGCTTGTCAACCAGGCTGCATTTATATCCAAATATATACGTAATAATAATGAAAAATACACAAATAAAAGTGTGATGAGTGCATTACTGGTTTTGTGCTGAATGTCTTTGTTTAAAGTTTGAAACTTTTAAGTCGATGCATGTTTCACAATTGTTTAATTGAAATTGTAATGCTTCAGCCCCAAGTATCAAATTTTTGAAAAGGTACCATAGGAGCAAGCACGTTTCCAGGGTCTTGTTTATCTGTTGATTACCATTCTTGTTATGTTCATCTGAAAAGGGGGCTATAATAGCCAGTAAAAGACACAAGCTTAGCGATTTAGGCTAAATTCTGTTGGGGGTCCCTCATTACTTCAATTTAACTGGCATATCAAAAATATAACTGTCAGGTGTCTAAGAACACTGAAAATGGTGAGACATGCAGTTGTGAATACGACCAAGAGTTTTGATTAGGACGGCGACAGGCATGTGATACATTTTCAGCAATATGTCTAATTTAGTCATACGAACTGAATTTATACTACCTCGATGGGTTACAGTGCTTTGAAGAGCATAGGCCTACCACTGAGTCGTAACACTCTTAAGTGTTTTGTACTTGTACACTTCTCGTTTTTCGTGTCACGGAAATTGGGCACAAAGAAAAAGGAAACTGTTATTTAGAGTTCCCAAAGAGATGAGAGAAATTCAAATGGGTGTTTCACTGACTAGAACTCTCCAAAAGTTCCTGTTCAGGGTGTATCATCAACTTCAAAATATTGTATCAAATTTTAAAATACCCATTGTGGATTTAAATCGTCGCACTGTCGCTGTTCGAATAAGAAGAAAAAAATACATTTTTTGAGGCCGGCATGGCAGGAGAGTAATGCTTTCAAACGTCCATCCAGTTCATCAACTGCGAAGCAAGACACTGACGTGTGGGCTGCCTATAATCTGCTTTTGGTTGCGGTTTTGATGGACCACTTCAGTGGGCCTCGGAAGAGTCAAAATGGAGTACACAAGATCATCAACCTAATGTACCAAAGCGGTAAAGATCAAAGGGCAACTATGACGCATGCCTGGAAGATGATATCAGAAATGATAGCTCAGAGAGAATAATAAATATACATGTAAAGTGTATAAAATATTGACCGCTTCGAGTGGTATTGTAAAACTAGCCTCCCACGGTGACCCATGAAGCATTCTATGCTATATATAGCAGGGTGACATCTCTTAAACTGTATGAAATCAATTCGAACACAGCACAATAGATGAGATCTCAGAGCCAATAGTTTAGTAAATGTGTTACCTCCTAGTCAAGATCCCTAGAGGATGTTTCAGGAGGAAACTAACCAAGTGCCAAGTACCAAGTAGTGTGTGAGATCTGTTTTCACCGGCCATATCTTGCTCTCAGTAACACTAACAGCCACGACCGCCAGTGCCGAGGATTAAGTGGTCGTTATAAACAGGTGGTCGTTGTACCGTCCCGTATACAGGGGGTTGCTAAGGGGCCGTCCATAATTCTCATCATTTTCGTCAGTGTACAAGAAGTAGACTCTTCACTACCTCCCCCCTTCCAAAGTGTTCACCAGCGGGCAAAAAATGATTATGGATGGAGGGCTGACGGATCCGTTGACGGATCATCATTATTTTTTCGTATTCAGAAAAAGCGTACACGTGTTCTTTAACCACCTCTCCCAGTAAGATTTGTACGCTCGTCACGATGAAAATTATGGACAGCCCCAATAGGCAGGTCTGCATCCTGTTTTTCCGTTGCTGTAAATGTACGTTTCCACAGTCTTCCCCGGCTTCGCCACTCAGTATGACGTTAAAATTACCACCATGGGCATCAGACCCCAGGGATGTGACTGTAATTCCACAACATTAACAAGTGGTGATTCTCACACCGTGACGATTCTCAGTGGTGCACCCAAAGGATTTGTCGGAGGGCTTGGACCGAAACTAACTTATGATGCTAAAGCCTGACTTTAAAATGTATGTGTATACCTTATTTTCGTTTATCAGAGAGTAATAGAAAATAAAAATTGGAAACCTCTGGGATGTCTCAAGCCCCTCCTTTGTGCGTGCGCGCGCCACTGGAAATTCAAGATTATGACAGTAAGGACAAGCAATCATTCGTCAGAGTTAGCCAAACCGTTACGTCTTCTTCTCTCTTTCTTTCTTTGTTTATAAATCCTCCTATTACTATACCTAGGCCTCTCTGGGGCTACCCGAGTGTATCCACGTCTTTTAATTTCGCTGATACGCGATAACCCATCGGGGTCATTTTATGTGCGAAAGAAATGTCCCCTGATCCCGGACTAAATTACTATTGGTCCCGATTAAGACACCTTTGATTGCAGAATAACCGTGGGACTATGATTTTGGACAGACATCAGCAGCTTGACCATGCGGGAACGAGGTATGTAGGGCCTGTACGTATGATGGCGTATATGGTAGACTCGTGCGCGTTACCCAAGTTCCTAGAAGTCGGACTGAGCATACGTTACCAAAGAAGAAAACGCCGTCGTTTATGCCTCAGATCATAAAATCCCAAGCGGCACCATATAGCGCCTCCTGATGACGCTTAGACTTTAGATACCAATGCAAGTTTCAATTCTTTTTTTAGAAATCATCTTGCCTTTCTCCGGCTCCACAGGTAATTTGAAATAGCGCCCTCAAACAAGATCTTAGGTTTACGTTAGTTCACTTTACGTTGCCCTGGCCGGCCCTAGCCTAGCCCTGCACATCTTCAATATTGGTACTTTTCGGTAAGTATTGCAGCTAGCAGCTTCCGTCCTCCTGCCTTTTTAACTATCCAGTCTTAGGCCCATAAAATGTTGTAATACTTAATACTTGAAAAATGTCACGCAGATCGTGACTTTTGCTAAGCAGCTAGCTGTAGGCGATTTAGTAGAGGCCTAATGACATGGCAAGAATGAATACTGGCCTTGAACTCGTGAAAACGTCACGCGACTGTACTTGGCCTACTAGTACTGCATGCAATGTGCACGCGTCCCATGTTTCGGCATCACGCACGTAAGGCCAGCCTGCAGTGATGGTGTCGCGCTTTGTTTACATAGGCCTAATTATGTAACGTTTCATGGAATCGATGACGATGGGGCGATGGGGCCATGGGGGCCCAAGGTAGATACAGTCAGTAGAGCCTAACTATTGAGGTAGGAAAAGATATATTTTGGTCAACAAATGCATGTATTGTATGTACATTTACATGTCATGTAATATTTTTTGTCAAGGCAATTTCCTCCATGCTCAAGGCTGTGCACTGAACTGTGCAGTGCCAGATTAAGTGCATGTCAATCACACCCTAATTAAATGCGGAATTTTATGGTAAATCTTGCCAAATATAGTTTGCTTTCTGAGTCTACCTCCGTGGTCACAGTAAGTTTCAGGCTGCCCTCACTCATGTCACTGTATTTTTGGTGTTTCTTCAGATGAATAATAATTAGGCTGGGACCTGTAAATGCCAAATCCCAGTGAAGATGGAAAAACATCAAGCATTCCAAGAGCAAGAGTGCCCGCGAATACTGCGGCTCATCACCTACCTGGCTCCTAGCATCCCGCTGGAATACTTTGAGGTCCTGAAGGAGTATTTAGAGGAGAAATTGGATTGCTACGTTTATCTTTTGTGCGAGAGCCGATGGTCTGGTCCTCCAGATGACCGTGTCGACCCATTCACAACGGGGGATGCGGACATAGGTAAGATTCAGTCTTCAGGAATGCAAGTCTTGAAAAAACTCTGAAAACAAAACCCTAGGTCGATGGCATTCACTGGCATGACTAAAGGAGTGCAGAGGAAAATATGCCCCCGGAATGTCCCCTCTCCTTCCATTTGAAATTTTGAAATGTACATGTTAAGTTACTGTCAGTGCACCCTTGGAAAAAAAAAATTTTTTTCGCCTCCCTCAGAAAGTTCACCCTAATTACACCATTGACATAAATTGTCCAAAATTCAGATCCCGCATCAAATGTCAGATCCTGACTTTCCGTCAGCTGTGCCTCAATTCAATTTGTTAGCAGAGTTCATTTAACCTTTTCACATCAAGATGACACTGCAATTGACTTAAAATTGATCAATACACATGTACAAGTTTGGTTCAATATACAAGTTATTTGTAAAAAGATTGACCATTAAATAGCATGGTACATGTAGATTGGTAGATATTAGCGGATTGTAGATAGAATGATTGGAAAAGAGGTTTGACATGAGACTCTTTTAGGGGACTGGTCGTTTCATCCAGCTGTTTATTTGTTGTATTTCTGTTTTCACTGCTTTTGGGAGGAGACAAATTCATGTTTGAGAGAAAAAAATTTATTTAGACCAGGATTGGTTCTCTTCTGCAGTCATCCTAGATTTGAGCAATCGGTATTTTTATGAAGAGTGGCTGAGATTTTCTGGGACTATGTACATTTACCGTGTATTTGCTAATCTGTGTAGGATTTGTGTGTGCTCCAACATTCCAACGCATGCACTCAAAGTCCAGCAGTAAGGCTGCTCTGCTGGGCGTGGCCCCTGCTCACATCACCCCACACGGCAGCGACCTCCCAGTGTATTACACTGAAGTTGTCGTCCACAAGGACAACTGGTAAATATGCCAACAAATGTTTTACCCACATTTATGGCAGCCATACATCTGCCCCTCTTCTCACAATTTTGAAAGGGGGGAGGGGCTTGGTAAGTGAAGGGGCTGATCAACTGGCCAGTATGTATTAATTTCACAGTTAACTTTGTGGTGCTAATGTGCATTTTACGTTCATACTAATTTACTGTTGGGCACCCCTCCATCCTAGACTGAAACCTTTTTGGTACAAATCTTGTTATCTGTTCCTTGTTAGTGATAGATTTAAACGATTTGAAGACCTGAGGGGATCTGTTTGGGCCTACAACGATGCACACTCATTGAGCGGTTATTGGATAACTCGGCTTGAGCTCGAAAAGATGGCTGAGAGTACAACTACTTTCTTCAACAAAACCCTCCAGTCAGGTAAGAGGATGGAGCATTGGAAATGCTTAAGTTTCTACGTGGAAGCCTATTTCACAAGAGGTTGT